TCGTTCATACTCGACGGAGAAGTTGTACTCCACAAAAAACGACAGCCACCTCGCCATTCGTTGCGATAGGTGTGGACTGTTTACGGCTGTGCGTAACGACGCATGGTTGGTAAAAACGATGAAGGGCCCATCTCCTAAGAGATAGACCCGAAACTTAGCCAGTGCAAGTTTCATGGCACGTAGTTCCTTGTCATGCACCGGATAGTTTCGCTCAGCTGCTTGCAGTTGACTCGATTGATAACAGACGACGTGCTCAACGCCGTCTGAGTCGTACTGCATTAACGCGCAGCCGATTTCAAAATTGCTGGCGTCACAGACCACATGAAATGGTCTATCCTGGTCTGCAAACGCCAACACAGGCGATTGCACCAAACTTTTCTTGATGCCCTCAAAAGGGTGCTGACACTCAGCGCTCCATGACCACCTCTCGTTTCTCTTTAACAAACGAAAGCGATGTACGGTCATCTCGGCATAGTTGCGCGAGTATTTGTGCAAGTACACCGCCAAGGAACTTTCGAAGTACCTTGACGTCGACTGGCACAGGCCAGTCGCTAATCGCCTTGATCTTTTCCGGATCAGGGCGTACACCGTTTTTACCCACGCTGCAGTCAAGATATGATATTTCGTTTGCTGCGAATATACACTTCTTGAGGTTCGCGAGCAACTTATGCCCACGCACAAGTGTAAGAATATCCCGGACGTGGATTCGATGAGCCTCCACGTCCGTCTTTCCATCCATAGGTCGAATATGGACGAAGAAATCGTCAAAGTAACTCGGTGCAAAATCTCGCGCCGATCGCAACAGGTTCGTAACACATCTATTAAACGTTGTGGGGGCGTTACTTAGTTCCTGTGGCATTACTAGCCACTCCCAGAGCATACCGCTGGGGGTGCTAACTGCTGTGTCAGGGATGTTCCGTTCACGCATGAGGATCCGATAGAATCCATCCATCAGATCCATGGACGAAAAGATGGTACTCTTTGCCATACCATCTATGATGACATCCTTTCTTGGGATCGGCGTTTGAGCCGGTACCGTGGCAGCGTTCGGTTTGTTGAACGCGTGCACAATCCGCCACCCTCCTATGGCCTTTCGCACACAGAAGGTCGGAGAGCTGTGTGAAGATGTTGATTCTCTCACATGACCAGCCGCTAAACGATCGGAAAAGAATTGGTCGATCGCTGTTACCTGTTCACGAGGCAGTGGCCACTGATTCATGACACAGTACTCCGAACCAGGTTTCAATTCGATCTCATGTCGAGTGCCTTTGATCTTAGGCAACTCGCGTGGCACCGATTCAGACAAAAACATCCTTGAATTCGACCAAATCATCATACAAGGATTCTTATTTTTTCGACACTCTCGTCCATCGATGAGCTACTGAGAACCCATTCGTTTTCAGTAAACACTTATGCCGACCGAATATCGGCGCCGTACCCGTCCTCTGTGACGAGTGCACAGATCCGCTTGATCTTTTCACTACGCAGATCTTGCAATAATATTTTAGATTATAGCGTTGACAACTTGATCGCGTCCGAACCTAACTTCGGGGGCATAACCAGATTAAGTGTATAAGCGCCTACACTTGACCCGTCATTCACCAAGACATTCACTGTCTCGATGATTTCATGGGAAACCACAATTGTAGGTGGTTGGGAAAACACACCCTCAACATAACTCTCTCGGGAGTTATCACTCTCAGGAAGCTGGAACTTTCTTCCAATAAGTTTTCTGATTGTGGGTGCACTACCACAGTCACGTCCTCTTCAAACAACTCTCTTTCAGTCGATCGGGCTTGCTCTACGATCGACTCTCTGTTAGTTGATCTTGCTTCAACGTGTTGTTCATCCTGAACAACACTAATCTCTCTTCTTGGATGCACCCTTATTAGTGTGCATCCGTGTTCCAGTCCACTCGATCTCTTCGAGTGGTGAACCTTCGGCGCAGCCTGTGTCTTTACACAGGTGCCGGAAGATAATTCCACAGTGCAGTGGCCTTTTACGCTGTGATCTTGTGCAGTCGTACTAGCGACCGTACCACAAGTGAGGCCATCGCAATTACTCGTAGTACATCCACACGCTTGTGGACTCTCCAAGACGTTCATCAGATATCCATCTGTTGAACAAACGGCAGGCATCTTCACGGATCGATGCAGCCAGCTGATCCATGGCCAGTACTTTCTAAGCCATGTCAGACCAAGGATGACATCAAATTTGTCATCCAAATCCAGTACGATGAAGTCATCATCGTATTGCTTTCCTTCTAGCGTGTAGTGGATTCCCACTACACGTTTGTTCACCGTTACGCATGCGCCTGTAGCAAGGCACACCGTCATCCTCGTTGGAAGGAACTCTCGCTGATCAGATTTGAGCCTACTATCCTCTAGCGGCTGACGTCGAATAAAACTGTTCGACGCCCCACAGTCAACTAGGGCGCGAAGTGACATTCCACTTGTCACTTCGATCTTCAAAGTGATGAGAGACTCCTCATCACTAGGGGCAGTTACACACAGCGGCTGTGTGTTGGGAGCAATCTCCATCAAGAGTCCTGCAAATTCTCTTGACATTACTGGATCATCAGGGTGCTTCGCCCCTACTGACCATGTCCGTTTTTTTGACGGTCCGACTCGCTGTCGCGGCTTAGCGACATGGTCGGACCCACGCCTCGGACCTTTCCTTGGCCAACGGTGGTCATCACGTCCTGTCTTTGGACGTGCTGCGGTACTCGGGACACTACACTCATGAGCGTAGTGTTAAATCTTCTGACAGCGATGGCATCTTGCCGATCGCTTGTGGATCAGAGAGAGAGAGAGTTCTCGCTCTCGATATAACAGAGGTCTATTGGTTCGGGACCTCCTGTTTCCTGTCGTCTCGTCTGACGATAATTTGGCGAGCTAGAATGAGACTGTCTCAGGCTGAAGTCTTCTTGTTTCGCATACGCTATCGCCTTTTCCAGCGTATGGAAGCCCTCTCGGAACATGAAGGTCTTCACTGGTCCATCTACAAGGCCGTAGATAAAAACTTTGATGAGTGTTTGCTCATCAACAGAGTTTTCCGTTACTCTACTAGCAAGGTAGCGTATGTGTTGTGCATTAGCGTGCACATCACGCTTACCTTCCTTGAGCCTCAGGAGTGCAGAGCGTGCTCTGAACTCGGCTCTTGTCGGCTCAAACGTCTCTTTGAGCCGAGACTTCAAGATCTTCAACGACTCAAACGCGTTTGGGTCGTGAAGCTTGATCCCTAGGACCCACCTTTTTGATCGTCCTGTTGAGTTTGACAGGGAGAAGGTGACTTGCATCTCGTCACCCTCGATGTGAAGGGCCCTCACGGCGTCGTCTAACTCGACAAAACATCTCAAAAAGGAATCTTAATCGGTTTCCTTGTACCTTGAGATATCTATCTTCAAGGTATTGGTCGACGCATGTGCGTCGGCCCGTCCATCGACTGATGAGAGCCTTGCTGTTGTAGCAAGGCTATCTTCTGTCTTTCAACAGCAAGTTACTCTTGTAATAACTTGTTGATAGCAGCATGTTGTTGGTATCTGCTTAGAGACTCCAACAGACCACTGATGGCGGGTTCGCCCATGAGCACACTCATGCGGCCGACTACCTCCCATTCTGAGTCACTCAGATGGGAGTAGCCTTCACGTTTGACGTTGAAATGTCGTCTTCTACGTCCAACATGAACATGTTGTACGGGTATTAAGTAGTCGTTAGACGGACAACAAAGTGCCACAAGGTGCAAGAGGGCACCCTTTATATGGGTACCACGAAACTTCACATACACTCGTACGTGCAGAGGAAGCTAATTTCCTCAAACTGCTAGTTTGAGTAAAGGGTAAAAAGAGAACTGTATTCAGCAAAGTTAAGCTATCAACATGACTTTAATCTTTATCTAACTATATTAATCTACATTGTCGTAAGAAGACAACCTGCTCACCACTCATTGCGCGAGTCTAGCAGCGATTGTTGGTAATCTATGGTTGATTTGTCTTATAACAACCAATCTTGGAGCAGCGAATGAATATTATCCAAAAAAGGGATAGCATTCCTTCACTATTATCCAAAAAGAGATAATTTTCCTTCAAAAGTATTCATCTCGGATAATATTGGTAGAATATTGTCAGGCTAGAAAATATTCCTATTGACACCGTCTGGTGTCAATTTCATGAAATGGGCTACATCGTTACATTAACTATGTTTAATACAGTTCTCTTTTTTTTACCTCTACTCAAACTAGCGGTTTGAGTAGATTAGCTTCCTCTGCACGTACGAGGGTACGTGAAGTTTCGTGGCACCCACACACAGGTGGCCCTTATCAGTAACTTTTTTTCGATTAACGAAGTACGGCATCAACTTTCTCAGGACCACTAATTTGCTGCCTGGATACATTTTGGAGCCATATGTGCGTCTTTCATCGGATCTGTAACGGGGCACCCTGAAGCTTGTACTGATGACAGTACAAGCTACTTATTCTGATAACAGAATAAGGCGGTGCCTCGTGACTTCACGTACACTCGTACGTGCAGAGGAAGACGGTAAGAAGAAGCGAGTACTTGGTTAGAGTAAAAAGTAGAACTGTATTTATAATAGTTAATGTCTGCAATAAATCACTATTTATCTTCATCTAACTATGTCTAAATACAAATGTGTAAATCAGTTATCTGCTCACCACTCATTGCGTGCGTCTGTCGTGGCGCGTCTTCGTTGGTTGATATAATGGCCTATATCAACCAATCAGGAACTACTCGTAAGTGCTACAGAATATTTGTCCTTATGACAATATTCTGAGAATATAACTCTTATAGTTATATTCTATTAACAATTTCTTATAAATTGTTATGTAACGATTCACCCCGTTACATCACCCCCCCCTTAACCATCAGTCACTTTAGTGACTGATTGACTAAATGGATACTCGTCCCAAATCATTTGGGACAGGGTTTGCACTTGTTGGTCCGCGTCCACTTTCCAACATTTCATCGCATGGTTAGCAAGCCCATGCGATGCGCGAGCAAGGCCGCCGAGAGCGCGTCTGCACGTCTCTGTGCGGACGCCGAAGCAGAAACAACAGCAACTGATGTCCCATCGGTTGCTGAAGCGACCCAGCCTGTGTCACTTGATGATGCAGGCGCTGGTCATGAAGACACTCGTGTCTTCACAGAGTACGAGCTCGGTGTCTCATACTCTCCTGATACGGATGACGGATCCGTATCGACGGCGATTGAATCTAAGCCGCCTGCCAAGCGTGGCATGGACGATGCTTTGCGTCGCAGCATCTTTGGTTCATCTGATGAATCAGATGAACCATCGCCGAAGCGAAGGCGCTCGAGGTCGCGAGACTCGGGCGCTAACAGTGGTGTCGGTTCTCCTATGGACACCACTTCGCAACGAGGTGCCAGTCCTTCTGTCGGCACATCGCAGGAAGAGCGGGACCGCAATGTCTTGCGTCTCGCTCCTGAGAAGAAGGCATGGATGCCTCCCAAATCTGTCATAGATCACTTGTCGGCGACGACGAGTGATCGTTATCGAACACGATTGTTCGATTCGTCAAGGATCCACCACCTTGACCCCAGCGCGAAAAACTATCGGGCTGAGAATGAATTCTTCATCGATGCTTTCTTTAGACATCGATGGTACAGTGGGAATCACAAGCGTAATGGTCCCTCACTACTTCAAGCGTGGAACGCCTACATCCATAACCTTGAGGATGTAGGTCGTGATGTTTGGAACGACAAACTTATCAAAGCTCGTGATAAGTTTGAAAAGCGAACCCCGACAGGTGCACGCTACAATCTGCATCGTCTGTCAAGGGAGAAAGGATTACCCTGCCTATCTTGGGGAGACTCGTGCCCATGTTGTGTGAACAACTCTGCACGAGCACCACGGAGGCTTGCCTCCTTACCAGCCCGTGGTGGCGCGTACGTGTCTCTACTGAGATGTACGAAGGGATTGACAACCTGAAATCCCTTTACGACCGTGCCGGGAAGACTTTCTCCGGAGGTCCTTCTGCGGCACAGGATGTGCCGCGTCGTACTGCTCAACCAGACCCAGTACGTCAATCATCAGTTGGGGTCGGGGCTCCCAAGAATCCCAGGACGGGGGATAGCCGCGCCACCGGACGAGATAACTCGTCCGACGTCCGTTCACGTCGCGGTGGTTCAACAGCTGCTCAACTAGATAGCGCTGGCCACCGCGAGAGTCCTCTAATGGAGGTGGAGGAGGAGGAAAGACGCTCTCCACACGATCATGTGGATCGGTGTGTACCCGAGAGCTTCTTTGATCGCGTAACGCAAGGGTTACGCGACGATCTCGAACATGAGCGGAATAGGCGTCTCCAAATGGCGGACACTGCCTCGAAGCATCGAGCTGAGTTTGCCTTTGCTCAGCTTGAGAACGAGAGATCTCTGACATCTCTTCGTGACGAGCTAAGGGTAGCTTGTGGGATTGCTGATCGGTCTCGGGATGAGATAGCTGCTCTTCAGACCCTTGTTGATGCCCACCATCGGGAGCACAAGGCTCTCTGCGAGATGCTTGAGCGCAAGGGCGTTCTTCATCGGAAGAAGCAGCATACTGATGGTACGGCTTAAGCCGACCAACGTAAAACGTGGGATGCGTTCGCATCTTACGTGGTAACTCGATCGTATATGCATTGCCTAGGCGGTGCAATACACGAAATGGGCCGATGTACTTGGGTAGTAGTTTACTGCTACCCAAGTTAGTCACTACATGCTTTGGTAGATTAACCGTAGACAGTAGGACTAAGTCACCTTTATTAAATAAAAGAGTGTTTGCCCTTCCATTCTTATCAGCGTTTTGCTTTTGCTTATCCACCGCTTCGGCGATGGAGTCTTGCACAAAACGGACTACCGTTTCACGAGCCAGTATGAACTCATCTGATGACTCGTTAGCTTCAGTGTGCTGTGAGCGCACTGCAGCAACATCAACCTTTTCTTCAGTGAGGGCTTCCGCACTCTCACTGGGATCATCTTCTTCAGTGAAGGCTTCCGCACTCTCACTGGCATCATCTTCTTCGATATCGATGTTATCGATATCGGCATCAAACGCAATGACTTCTTCGTCAGAGCGTGATGAGCGTGAGCCAATTCGGTTTCTGCTCGCGCGAGTCCCTCCCCCCCTTAAACCAGAGTTACACTCTAGTAAGGTGGGTACACGCGGATGGCGCAAGCCATTCACGTAAAACGGTGTATGTGTCGTGGACGCATGCACCGAGCTGTTGATGGCAAACTCTACCATTGGCAAAAACTCACTCCAACTCTTAAAGGAGTGTACGTATCCTCGAAGTATCTCTTCAAGGACACGGTTGGCACGTTCCGTCTGACCATCTGACTCTGGATGATCAGATGTTGACATCTTCAAGCGCGTTCCGAGTGATTTGAACACGGAACGCCAGAAATCAGCAGTGAATCGTGGATCTCTGTCTGATACGAGTTCACGGGGCAACCCATGAAGTCGGAAGATGGTGTCAATAAAGACACAAGCACAGCCACTTGCCGTGATTGTCTCTGGTACAGCCACAAGGTGTACCATTTTGCTGAATCTGTCAACAAATACGAGAATACCCGTATTCCCGCGTGCGTCTTTGGGTAACCCGAAGACGAAATCCATTGAGATGGATTCCCAGCACTCAGCCGGAACCGGTAGAGGCTGTAAAGGTGCACGCAGTGAAGGACTTGACTTCACTCGTTGACAGACTTCGCATGCGCGAACATACTTTCGCACAAACTGATACTGGCGGGGCCAGTAAAAGTCTCGACTCACCGTGAGATAAGTTTTCTCCCGGCCACGATGTCCTCCTATAGGAGCATCGTGATACTCGAACATGATCCGCAAACGCAGATCAGTATCATCTGGAATGACAACACGTGGTGTGTCACCAGAAATGGCTGTATAATACAGTAAACCGTTACGAGTAGTGTATCGATCTGATGCAGATCGATACGCAGGCGACAATCGTTTCAACGATTCTCGGGATGGTTGGGAGAGATGTGTCAACAACTTCACAATCTCACCATCTTGGGCGTATGCCCGCCTCACATCATTATACAACGTTGTAGATGGGACTGAGGACGTCATAACCGCAACAGTGACTGTCTCACTGTTGGGTTTCGCGACTGTTTCAAAGTCGGGACGACGTGAGAGTGCATCAGCGACGACATTAAGTCGTCCTGGTTTGTACTCGACCGTAAAGTTGTATTCTGCAAAGAATGACAACCACCGCGCCATTCGTTGTGAAAGGTGCGGGCTGTTCACTACCGTGCGTAACGACGCATGGTCAGTGTAAACAATGAAGGGTCTATCTCCTAATAGATAGACTCTGAACTTCGCGAGCGCATACTTCATGGCAAGGAGTTCCTTGTCATGCACTGGATAGTTCCGCTCAGCTGGTTGCAGCTGACGCGACTGATAGCAGACGACGCGTTCAACGCCTTCAAGATCGTACTGCATTAATGCACAGCCGATTGCGAAATCGCTGGCATCACAGACCACATGAAATGGCCTGTCCTGATCGGCTATTGCTAGGACTGGGGATTGTATCAAGCTCTGCTTGATACCATCAAAGGAGCGCTGACATTCAGCGTTCCATAACCACCTCTCGTTCTTTTTCAACAAACGAGAGAGGTGCACAGTCATCTCGGCGTAATTGCGTGAATACTTATGCAAATACGCCGCTAGCCCAAGGAATTTTTGAAGACCTTTGAGATCAACCGGCACAGGCCAGTCGGTGATCGCCTTGATCTTTTCGGGATCAGGACGTACACCGTTCTTACCAACGATGCACCCAAGAAGTGGTATTTCGCTTGCGACAAATATACACTTCTTGAGGTTTGCATACAATTGATGCTTTCGCATGATTGTAAGAACCTGTCGGACGTGGTACCTGTGAACCTCAACGTCCGACTTTCCATCCATAGCTCGACTATGGATGAATACGTCATCGAAATAACTCGGCGCGAATTCTCGTACTGGTCTCAACAGATGTGTATCACATCTGTTGAACGTGGCAGGGGCATTACTGAGCCCTTGTGGCATTACTAGCCATTCCCAGAGCATGCCGCTAGGCGTGCTAACTGCGGTATAGGGTATATCCCGTTCCCGCATAAGGATTTGATAGAAGCCATCCATCAAATCCATGGACGAAAAGATGGTACTCTTTGACATACCATCAATGATTACGTCCTTCCTCGGTATCGGCGTCTGAGCCGGTACCGTTGCAGCGTTCAATTTGTTAAACGCGTGCACTATCCGCCACCCTCCTGTTGCTTTTCGCACACAGAAGGTCGGAGAGCTATGTGGGGAAGTTGATTCCCTCACATGGCCCGCTGCTAAACGATCGGCAAAGAACTTGTCGATCGCAAGTACTTGTTCACGAGGCAGTGGCCACTGCTTCATGACACAGTACTTCGAGCCTGGTTTAAGCTCGACCTCGTGTCGAATACCTTTATCCTTCGGTAATTCGCACGGAACAGTTTCAGGGAATACATCCTTGAATTCAACCAAATCCTCATAGAGAGGGTTTTCCTTGAGCGATTCCCATGATTGGGACTCATATCGCTCAATTCGTGTCTTTTCATCTAGGACACTCTCGTCCATAGATGAACTACTGAGAACTCTCTCGTTCTCAGTGAACACTGTTGCTGACCTTATGTCGGTTACACACTCGTCGTCAGCGACGAGTATGCAGATCTGCTTGACTTTGCCACTACGCAGATCACGCAAGAACCTTTTATGTTCGAGCGTTGGCAACTGAGTGATCTCCGAAGTCAACTTCGGAGGCGCAATCAGATCAAGTGTATAAGCGCCTACACTTGATCCGTTATGGACTATGACATTCAATGTCTCTGTCATTTCCTGGGGACTTATTCCCTCAGGCTTCGAAGGACTTATTCCTTCGTCTTCCCGGGGACTTATTCCCGCGGGTTTCGGGGAACTTATTTCTGCCGTATTTGTAATCTTGGGACTTATTCCCTTTACTTCCTCTAGCTGGGGTTGCGCAACCACAGCGAGATCCTCCACGAAAGACTCTCCAGTCGATCTAGGATTATCGTTTCGCTTAACCTGAGCGATCGATTGTTTCTCTTCTAGATGTTCCCCGCTAGGGATACATCTTTGTCCCAGTCCACCCGACTTATTCGAGTGGTGGACCTTCGGCGCAGCCTGTGTTTTCTCACAGCCGCCGGAACTTTGCTCCGAAGTGTAACCGTTTGTTACACTAAGGTTTTGTGCAGTCGTACTAACGACCGTACCACAAGTGAGGCCATCGCACTCACTCGTAGTACATCCACACGCTCGTGGACGCTCCAAAACGTTCATCAGATGGCCATCTGATGAACAAGCGGCAGGCATCGTTACTGTCCGATGTTGCCAGTTTACCCGTGGTTCGTACCTTCTGAGCCACGGTATTCCAAGGATGACATCAAATTTGTCATCCAAATCCAATACGATAAAGTCATCGTCATATTGGGTATCTTCTAGCGTATAGTGGATCTTCACTATACGCTTCATGACGGTTACGGATGCGCCTGTCGCAAGACGTACCGTCATCCTCGTAGGAGGTGTGTCACATTCACTGAATTTAAAGTGACCATCTTCTAGCGATTGGCGTCGCACAAAATTGTTGGACGCCCCACAATCGACTAGAGCTCGAAGGGACAACTTATTCGTCACTTCGAGTTTCAAGGTAATGAGTGAGACCTCATTACCTAGAGCAGCAACGCACAACGTTTGTGTGTTGGGAGCAACCTTCATTAAGAGGCCTACAAATTCTCTTGGCGTTGCTAAACCAGTAGGGTGCTCCGCACCTACTGATCCTGTCCGTTTTTTGACGGTCCATCCCGTTGTTGCGTCTTTTCACCAACTGCGGACCCTCGTCCCTGCCCCTTTCTCATGGGTGGACGGTCACTACGCCCAGTGTCGCGAGACACTGGACGAGGGGCACTACACTCGTAAGCGTAGTGTCCTGTCTTTTGACATCTGTTGCATCTCTGCAACTTCTTGTAGCCTGTAGAGTGAGCCTTCTCGCTCTCTACATAACAGAGTTCCATCGGCTCTGGACCTCCGTTGTCATATCGTCTCGGTTGACGATATGATGTCGAGCTGGCGCGAGCCTGTCTCAGACTGAAGTCTTCCTACTCCGCAATGGAAATGGCTTGTTCTAGTGAATCTAGTTCAAGTCGGAACAGGTGAGTCTTGACGGGACCATCCGCAAGACCCTGCATGAACACCGAAACCAACGTGTGTTCATCCACCGGATTGGAACTTATACAATTCGTAAGATGTCGTATATGTTGGGCGTAAGCGTGCACATCACGCTTACCCTGTTTGAGCTTCAAGAGTTCGGTTCGAGCCCTGAACTCAGCTCTAGGCGGTTCAAACGTTTGTCTGAGCCGCGACTTGAAGACTTCCAACGACCCAAACGCATATGGGTCGTGCAACTTGAGCCCCAGTGCCCAAGTCTTGGCACGTCCTGCCAGATTCGATTGGGCAAATGCAACTTGCATATCCCCGTCGTCGATGCGACGCGCCCTTATGGCGTCATCCAATTCGACGAACCATCTCAAGAGGGAGTCTTCTTCGACCCCCCTATACTTTGAGATGTCAATCTTCAAAGTCTCGGGTCGACGCGAGTGCATCGACCCGCCAGCAGCAGCCTGCTGCTGTCTCAACAGTTCAAACTGTTGAGCACCTTGTTCTCTCAACAACTCTGCTTGTTGAGAACCTTGTTGGTGAAGCAAGGCTACTTTCTCGCGTTCAGCGTCAAGTTCATTTTGAATGAACTTGGCGATAGTAGCATGTTGGGCATCTCTATTGAGAGCCTCTAGCATGACGCTAACAGCATGGATGCCCATGGTCGAACCCATTCGTTCAACCGCATCCCATTCGACATCGCTCAAATGGGAGTAGCCTTTACGCGTAGCGTGAAAGCTTTGGTCATCTTCATCATCCAACATATTCATGTTGGATGTGAACGTGGTCCTTGGACGGACTACGAAGTGCTACCAGGTGTAACGGGGCACCCTGAAGCTTGTACTGATGACAGTACAAGCTACTTATTCTGATAACAGAATAAGGCGGTGCCTCGTGACTTCACGTACACTCGTACGTGCAGAGGAAGACGGTAAGAAGAAGCGAGTACTCGGTTAGAGTAAAAAGTAGAACTGTATTTATAATAGTTAATGTCTGCAATAAATCACTATTTATCTTCATCTAACTATGTCTAAATACAAATGTGTAAATCAGTTATCTGCTCACCACTCATTGCGTGCGTCTGTCGTGGCGCGTCTTCGTTGGTTGATATAATGGCCTATATCAACCAATCAGGAACTACTCGTAAGTGCTACAGAATATTTGTCCTTCTGACAGTATTCTGAGAATATAACGCTTATAGTTATATTCTATTAACAATTTCTTATAAATTGTTATGTAACGATTCACCCCGTTACAGGATCGGTCCTGATGTAGCTGTCGCATTTACTGCCAGTAGAATCAAGTTACACGGTGCTTGAACTCAGCCCACCACGCAATTGTACTACCGCGGCTTTAGCTTTTCCAAACATTTGTACGTGAGCTTGAGTGGGACATTCTCTTCATGTTATCTCGGACCTGAAGTGTGGCAACGATCGCACAGACACTAACCTCCTCCGATCTCTTCAGCCCATACAATCGACAGGACGAAATCGCTTGGTGATTCGATACCTTTCGCTCGTTTCATGTGATCGTCGGGAATAGTACGCCCCGTCAAACAGGAACGGTGGGGGAAAGCCGACATTTGCTGGGATTTGTCGACCAAATGGTCATGCAACGAATGAAGCCTATTATCACGTGTGCACTAAGTCTTCGAGTGCACCTGTACACTCCAGGTATCATCTCGTGAGCAGCTAGATACTGGACACAAACGGCTGGTCAACCGAAAACTGAATCCCTAATCAGATTAGTGCTACATCCTTTGTGAGTGGATCGTCGCGACTGTAGACGCTGCACTTGGCCCGACCTTCCTTAAACTAACACTTCACTCTCGCCAAGCTTGGAACGGACGCCCTGCAACATGTGGGATAAATGCATGATCCACTTTCTCGTCGACCAGTCGAGCCATGCGCTGAAAAGTGACCATCATGTTGGGCCGGTGCCAGGTATTATTTTCCGCCAATAGTCGTTGGTACCGCAGCCATGAGCAAGAACTGTTCAACCTGACCGCACATTTTAGCGAGAGCACTACGATGCTTAAGTTCCATACGCATTGTTAAGTATACTTCTTAGAAGCGCGGACGTCGTGCACAGCATTATCGCCACCGACAACAAAAAACTCGAATGTAGATTGGATATGATGTCCCATCTCCAGGATCAAAGAAGCCTGACCTGATAAATTGTCTCAAACGGACCGGACACCCGAGCACTGCGAGAATACAAGCTTTGGCTAAGGACTGCCCATGCACTTCGAGTGTTGAGTTGTAACTGATTGCGTGTCGATGCAGACGAGCTCGATCCGAAACGATGCGAACGTGCCCATTCCTCGTCACATCGACTTGGATGGTACTGAATCACGTTGTCGCGGCAAAGATCAGCGAGTGATGTGTATACGTTTGCGACACATGAAAGGACAAGCCTACGGTGCAGCCCATCTATCAGTTGAGCTGATAGTCTTCCCCGATGGGCTGACCCAATGACAGCGGCATCGATAACTTCTTTTTACATGAGCAACAGGTAGAACTCTAACCATCTTCCACGAACATCGGAACGGTCATCCCTTACACGAATCAGTATTTGTGGCGTTAGGCAAGCATTCCGACCTGTACACGCAAGCGCCTCCTGGCAGTCCTGTCAGCTAGCCGCCATCGAGATCGTTTACAGTTTATGAGGCGTCTTTATCCCTATCCCGTGTCCGCATGTGTAGAGTTGCATACACGATTAGTCGACAGCGTAGAAGCGCCACATGCAGCTTCGTCTCGGATAAGTAGCTCCATTCGACAATTATGTCGCTAGGTCGTGCACAAGTCTCCCGTCGCCAGGTTGTGATGCATGTCATGTGTATATCCCGAACGATGCGATGCTGGATCAAAAGATCGTCCGTTTTTCAAGAACATGTCTCTGCCTGAGGTATATTGTACGCAAGTGCGATATACATGGTTGGGTCCCGTGCTTGCTCGAGCTTGCAAGTACGACAACATCTTTGTTCAGCAAAGCTCTATCTTCAAATCGTTATGATAGGCACGCAGGGTCGACAGCGCGAAGAGTGCCGTCTGGCATTTTAGCTTAGGTTATTACCACCCATGCACGGCATCGTAAGGTCGTGCGTGTACCTGACTTGCAAAATCGACCCCTCGCGCGTATCTTGTGATCGGCTGCCCATCTCTTCCACCCTGGAAGCCTTACGATGACCGCAAAGATGCAGGCTTTCATTGCAGTACGCTTCAACTAACCGTGCTGGTTTGCGTCTTCTGATCAAGCAACTCGAGTCAAATAGGGCATGGCCATCATTAAAGCCGGTCATTCATGCACGGGCAGCCTAAGTTTTGCACCTTGAAGTATCCCTACAACTGTCGTCCCGTTGCCAGCAATCGTCCATACTCTATACAAGAGCAGCCGTTGTCGCTCGCCAGGTTGAAAGACACAAAGTACTAGAATACATTTGCACGCTGCTTAGTTGAGTTGGCTCAAGTCGCGAGTCAAGTTCCTCCACTGTCATTTCTGAATTTGCCACACTGTTCAACACTTTCCAGTCACTAGCTTCACTCCAAGATGGTCGTGTTCGTCCCTCGGACTCTATCGCTCGTCACGGCAGCAGTCGCAGTCTCAAGTGCTATTTTGGCATCGAGGGCTGCACCCTCGAAAGCTGGAGTACCGAACGCCTATCTGACCCAGCCTGTGAACCCGGCCGCTCTATTGCACGCGTTCGAGAGCTGCATGGACAGCTCGGCTGCTGACGAGCACAAGAGCAAGAACAACGAGAGCGTCAAGACCAACGTCAACTTTTTTGTCGAGGAGTCACCGCTGTACGAAGATTTTGCTACGGGGCCAAAAGCTCGCATTGCTCGGAAACCTTTGGGGGTGTATCTGGCCAAGTCGGAAGACGACGTGGTCCGAGCTGTCAAGTGTTCAGTCAGCAACAACCTCGCTCCCGTTCCTCGCAGTGGCGGCCATTCATACGAGGTCCTTTCATCAATGGACGGCTCCTTGGTCATTGACATGGCCGACATGGTGGACATCACCCTCGTGTCGGAGGACAAAGACGAGCGATCTGCTCTTCTGACGGTGCAAACTGGTGCTCGCCTCGGATGGATCCACACGGAACTGGATCGGCTCGGAGGTTACACCCTCAACGCTGGTACGTGTCCGAGTGTTGGTATCGGTGGCCACATTTCCGGTGGTGGCTACGGCATGGTGAGTCGTCACTACGGGCTGGCGGCAGACCAGACGACAGAAATGCGCGTGGTGCTGTACGACGGCTCAGTGGTCACGGCTTCCCCGACGGAAAACTCAGACCTGTTCTGGGCGCAGCGGGGCGGAGGCGCCGGTTCCTTCGGTATCGTCACGCTCTTCACGATCAAGGCGTACGCCCTGCCTCAAGTCTCGGTGTTCAACGTGCACTTCAACGCCTCCGTGCGCGCTCAGATCCTGCGTTCGTGGATGGACTTCTTCCCAACTGCTGACTCGAAGCTCACGACGCAACTTGTCGTGGACGGAGATGTCGCCCGCATCACGGGCCAGTACCTTGGCCCCATGAAGGAGCTCGATGAGATACTTGACGCCTCGGGACTGTTTGAGCACGGAGGGTTGATCGTGCAGGAGCGTCTCAACAACTGCTCGCAGCTCGCAATCAAGGCGTATGCGTGGAAATCCACGTGCGACGACTTGAGCTCGCTCAATGTCTCGCACCACATGACGATAGCGGACAGAGACTACAGCAAGGTCAAGGGTGGCTACTCGAACTCAGTGCTGGACGACGAGGGAGTGCAGACGGTTGTCGACTGGGCGGACCGACTGCCCAACACGACGTGGGCGTACATCCAGTTCGAGGCGTACGGCGGCATCTTCACCACACAGACGAACGACATGACGCCGTGGGCGCATCGTGACGCCGTGTGGTCGGTGCAGATCGGAGTGGGTGCCAAGAAAGGCGAGTCCGAAGACTCGACCTCGTACCAATGGATCCGCGGCATTGCGGGAGCCCTTGAGAAGTACTTTGACAGCGGCAACTACCAGAACTACTGCGACTTGGATCTGGGCGAAGACTTTGGCCAGCGATACTGGGGAGCTGACAACTTTGCCCGTTTGCGCCAAATCAAGGCGCACTACGACCCACTGGACGTGTTCAAGAGCGCCCAGTCCATTCCGTTGCCGTAAGTGGCTCTGGGTGTCGACATTAGGCATGTCAGTCTACAGTGACGTGGTGTAAGACGACCGAGTCGTTATTGAGAGCGAGATTTGCTGCTCTGTAATACACGTATTTGATGCTTTGAGAACGTCGCACGGACATTTGGTCATGGCTTTATGAGCCCGAGAGCAAAGTCACATCGTGTGCGCATGTCTGTCACTCGGATCATATTCCGTTTTGATTAATTCAGTACACCGTGCTGGACTGGATCAGTGAAATAGCTGACATTTTTGACAGCGATGCAGAAGTTGCGCCGCAGTGCAAACCTCAACCTCTGCCTGCATACATTTGACAAGTGTGCTAGATCTCCTTCCTCTTTAATGACACAAAAGGTAAATTACGACCGTCATCAAACAGCCTCTGCCTGACATTTTCGACCTTTCGTCGTAATTCACCCATCTTTGCCATTTTGCTCGCACCTCCATTGTCGTCAACCCAATTTCTCCCAACTATTTATTCAGCAAACTTGTCCCCATTGTCCAGTCCGACGACTCTCGATCTACAATTATGAAGCCGACAGCGGCTTCGTCCGCCGCGGCAGTTCCCGATCCTCCCACCACTCGGCCATCCCGTCACAAGGACAAAAGCGTCTGGCAACTGAAGCGCGACAGCTGCGCCACGTTGCGCGCCTTTGAGGCCCAGCGCAGCGCGCAGCTCGACAAGTTCCAGGCACGAGATCGCGCCTATTGGCGTCAGTTCCAAGCCGAAATCCGACACGGAGACGTCGAAAATGCGCGGCTGTTGCGCTTTTTCACGCTGCGGTTAGAAGCGGATTTGGTGTATGCAGAAGCCCTGAGGCAGACGCGCCAGGTGCTGGACGCTCCACTGACGGACTTGGACGGAGCGACGACTCCGGAGCTCCCGATCGTCCAGTCGTCTGTGTCCAAAGCGCTGTGTGCAGTGGGAGAAGTTCAGCAACAAGTGGCTGAGAAATTGGAGCAGTTTACGACTGTTGTGAAGCGAGAAGTGATGGTGAAGCTGTTGGAGGAGATGGCGGACACGTTCAAGGAACGGGTGGCGACCATGCTGAGCGAAGGTGAGAGACTTGACGGACTGTTGTTCCAGTCGCAGAATAACGTACTGGCGTCGTTTGCCAAGTACGTTAAGCTCTTTGGTGTGATGGAAAAGGAGGAGGAGACGCCGGCTGCTGTGAATGTGGTCGATCCAGTGCGACGACTGGATCTGTGGCTGGCTGAGGTCAATTATTGCATCAATGTACAAAAGCTGCGAAATTGTCGTGTTGAGTACGTGACGGGAATGGCGGCGCTGTTTCAGCAGTATAAGACGATCGAAGTCTGGAGAGCGTCAGTCATTCAGACAGCGCTGGATACGTATATCCGAAAGCAAAAGCTGGTGTACGGCGAGATGGCAGGGGCGATGACTGGTCCGCTTGCTAGTGCACAGGTAAGAATGATACATACAAAATGGTTCTTGTACGAATTTGGCGTTGCCGAGTGTAACGATGTTGTGTGAGCGCAGCGTATTGACCCTGAACGAGATCTGCTCCAGAGTGTGCGAAGGATACCGAAAAACGTACGCGGACGACTACGTGTGCCATCTTTTTGATGTACGCTGGGCTGACTGTTTGCGTGTATGACTTCATCATGTTATTCAGTACACGGCAGCAGCGTTGTCGGCAGCAGATGACACGGATGCAAAACTGTTTTCAACGTTGCGGTCGCCTATCGCGAGTCCGTTGTTAGTGCGCTGTGGATTTGTGAAAAACCAAGTGAGCAGCTCGCTCTTTTCATCATGGAAGGACGTGCTGTGTGCCATTACGCAAGAGGGATATCTGCATCTGCTGGACCTGAAGGAGCACACGACTCGCTCCATCCTGGTGTCGACAGAAGCGATGCTGGCGGCAATTGCTGTGAATGAGCAACATGCAGACGTCAGCAGTCAATCAGTTTGTCTGGCAAACTGCCGAATCGAGATTTTGGGCAAGAGCACGACGCCGAGCTTCGAGATCACGGAAGTGAGTCCGCCGTCCGGGTTACTGAGTAGTATGTTGCGAGTAGGAGTTTCCCGGACGCTGACGTTCCAATGTCCAAGCCAAAGCGATCTGATTGAGTGGGTAGTTGCTGCCAAGCAGTTTATCTCGGCTGGGTCGTCTATGGTGAATAGATAGACGGACATTGTCGTCCTAGGGAACGCTATATTAAACATGAGAATCAGCATGTTGTTCACTTGACTGTGTGCACCACACTAGTCTCGGTAAGTCACTGGTAGCCCTCGTCGACTCATCACTCGCAGAGCTCCAATGGGTCTGTTGGATGGTCTGATCACGGGCTTTGCGCGCAAGAGCAAGTTCGGACGCTCGCACTCGCTGCGTCCACTAACGAGCAAACGTGCCAATCGCCGCTTCTACAAGGGAAACGGCTGCCGCAACGAAGGGACTCACGCGAAACGGGGTCGGTACGTTGTGGACCCGGACAAATTGCTGCAGCTCGAAGTGCCTGATCTCACGGGCTTCAAGGTGCGTCTGCCTCTGTGTATCGACCACTTACTGGATGTTTGAGGTAACGAGCTGTTGTCCATCCTTTGTGTTCTACCATGTGTGTTTGCTGCAGCTCAAGCCGTACGTGTCGCCGCTAACGCCCAACCGCCGTCCGCAGTAGAGCGAGGAGTGACAGATTCCAGGACGAGTTTGCGACTTTATTGCACAGTAAGCCGTATTCACGAGTAAACCATTGGAGGAGGTTTAATTTTTGTTGCACTATCTGGAACGTACACATCACATCGAGTCAGCAAACTGGTGCTATTTATGGCTCAGGAGATCGTGCAGCCGCAAGTCTGGCCTTGACGTAGCTGTTGACACTCTTCGCTCAGCAGGTTGAGCTCCATTTCCTGACGCTCCTTCTCATGCACCACACGTTCGTACTCGGACTTTATGCGCTCCAGCTCGTTGTCAGATTCCTCATGCTTCTTCGTGTTATTTGCGTGCTTCGGACCAGCTGATTCATGCTTGGTCTCCGCCTTCTTCGTGGTAGCTTCGTCGTGCAGCATGCTCTCTAGATCAGCAATACGTTCACGTTGAGCCTGGGACTCCGCTTCGAAACGCGCCTTCTCCGACATGATCTGTGACGATTGCACCTGCATCTGCTCGATCTGCTCCTTGTAAATCTGCTCTCGACCACCGACGCTGCCAAGTTCCTCCTTCACCTTTGATACATCCCCCTGCAGCATCCTTACTTTATTTTCATAGCCTTCTTCCTGTCGGCTCAGCAGAATTCGCATGGCCTCAGCATACTTGGCCTCCGAGAAAGTCAAGAGGCACTCGAGTTTGGCACCACCACGAGCTTTTTGAAGATAAGCATCGCGAAATACCTGCCAGACGCGCGAGAACTGCTGCATGTCTGCAAACCCGTCCAGGTCGTCATCGCCCGAAGGGGCCAGCTTAGGCTGAATGTGTTCGGCGTAAAGCACCTGGAGCAAGCGTTCACACATCTCTTTGCTCTGATTCAAGTTGTCCTGAGCACACGCAGCCTTGTCGACTTCCATGCGCTTGCGGAGGTCGGCCTCCAACTTCGCGGCAGTGTCGCCAATGGCAGCAGCACGGAATTGCGCCACAGCTTGCTCCTCGGCATTTTTCATCGCCAAAGTGAGGTCGTCGACGTCAAGAGGCAGATCCAAAGCACGTAGACTCTCTTTGAATACTTCAGCGGCGCTCGTCATCGCTTTCCGGCACTCAGTTGCAGTCACACCCTCCCAAGCAGACGTGATCACCGGTACACCGCCACTGTTCATCGCAGCCACATAGGCTTGCAGCAACCCGGCAAACATACTGCCATTCAGAGGTTTGCCGTGCAGCTTCTTGGGCTGTAGGCTATCGCCATATACGATTTGCTTGACGACACCAAGCTGCTGCTGGAACTCCGGCCGCAAATCTTCGATCGGAAGCTCATCCACCTGCTGCAGCTTGGTTTCGTCGTACACAGGACGCACGAGCGTGACGCAGTCGCGTTCACGGAAAAAGTCCTTCATCATTGCACGGGTCCGGTTGCGCTCAATGTTGGCCGACGTCCGTGGCTGGTCCGCAAGTGCTCGCTCCAAGTAGTCACTACTAGAGATGGGATCACCGTCTTCATCCACGAGCTCGAGTGTAAAGTCCCTCACGACCCATAGAAAAGACGGGAAGAAGCTGTGCAGTTGCCTCACGTCTTCTTCCTCGTCGCTCTCTCCTGTCGACGAGGCACTGACTTTAATGTGCTTCGCCAAATTGGCGATGAAACTCAGACCACCAATAGCCTTCTCGTCCACACTCCCTTGACTGTTGTAAATGAGCTTCGAGCACAAGAGCGTGGCCAGCGAGAAAATGCGCGCGTCGTACTGCTGCGAGGCCTCGAGCCCGCCCATGCCCTCGGTGTCAAGCACGAGCACCCACACGTCGTCTCCATTGGCCGTTTGGTGCCTCTGCGGCTGGCCCCAGATCCAAATGCCGCGTGTGCAGCGCTCGATAGTGGGGCCCACACGAAAGCCGCTCTGTCTGTCCAGCAGCCAATTGAGCATCGAGCTCTTGCCCGTGCGGTACAGTCCCGCCATGGCCACGACCGCGACGTGGCCATCGATGCGTCGCAGCATCTCCACAGCTTCTTCGTTCACCTTGAGTTGGTTTTCGGTATCACTGAACGTGATCAGCGGCACGGGCTCTTCCGGGAATTCCTGCACCGTCGTCATCGCGGATCGGAAGTAACTAGGAAAGATAGACGCGCACCTGGAGCGGCTGTGTGGAGGTGTGGTACACACACGTGAAGTAACAGCACGAAGTGTCCGTGTGTGAGTGTGTGTGGTGCACGTACATAGCGACGATCGATGGATATGTGACGCACACCACGAAGTACGCAAAGCACAGCCACCGACCGGCTCGTTCGCTACAGCGTGGAGATGCTTGTACTGCGACGTGTGGGATCGCGATGCAGCGCTCGAAAGGCCTCGATCGACTCCCAAGCACTTTCATCCGCACGGTTTCGATCTACCACTTGCGTCTTGTCTTTCCACTCGCATCATTTGCAGCGAAAAGGCCTCGCAACGTTGTCCCCCACAGCTCTGCAAGGTCTGGATGTCGATAAACTTGACCTGCCTCCACTTCCGACGGCGGACGAAGTGGAAGCTACAATTGAAGCTGCAGAAGCTCAAGCTCAACGGCAGCAGATGGCGAAAAGGGTGCAGCACATGCCGATACGAGCTGTCCACATTGCTCGGAAAATGAACATTGCCAACCTCTTTCGGAAGCTCTATACGGATAAATTCAAGGTCACTCACTACTTGCATAAGGACTCTATTGTGCTTCGACTTAACGGTGGTAAGAACAACGGTCATGACGAACTTGTCACGGGCGTAACACCACCTACGACCGTACATGATCCTTGCAGTATTGACAATATTGACGCAGTATCGACGCTGAGCATCGGATCTGGAGGCAAAACTGTCACGTCTCGACGTGGCACGGATAAGTGGGTCGTTTATTTTGACTATGGAGCTGTCGTGTTTTTTAATTGTGACCAAGCACTAGTGAACACGCTGATAAAACACGCCACACGCTTCTGTAGCGACGTGTTTGAAATGCGTGGACACGAAGAGGAGCTGCTGCTAGTTGGCGATCCTGCACAGAAAAGATGGAGCAGATTGGTGGAGAATAACGTGTTGGTGCGTGAGATTGATCATATCAACGTACACGTGATTGCTGGAGTGCTCTCACAGACGGTGGCGCTCGAGTTTTACGAGCGCCAGTGTGAAACCATTTTGCGTGAGTTTGAGAAGCTCAACACGGACGTGGAGAAGAAAGGTCCTCGGGGTGCTTTATTTGGTCGTGAAAACGAACAGACGAGGAGTCTCTTCAAGATTGTGGCGTCAAATAACACACTGCTGATCGATCTGGTGAGTAAACTGCGTGTGATTGATCGAAAAAGGCCGGGTGACCCAGCGTGGAGTCAAGCGAGATACCACAACATGTGGGAATCATTGCTCGAAGAGTTTGAGCTGAACGAGCGCTTCCAGAATCTTAATTTCAAGCTCGAACTAATCCAGCACAATACCAAGGTAGGTTATGTTTTGGCTGGCATGGATTGAATAAGTCGCTAATTGTGGCTTGCTTGCAGTTCTTCTTGGAGGTGCTACACTCCCATAAGGGCGAGCGACTTGAGTGGTACATTATCATCCTCATTTCCGTCGAGCTGGGTATTGGTGTCTATGAACTACTCCTGAAGCTGGCATAAGTTGGAAAGTATATTAGCTCTTGAACAAAGGTAATGCAGATAAAAAAAGCTGTGACAGAATCAACAGAGCGCGGAAGCTCTATCGAAGCCGCTCCTCGGCAGGCGCCTCCTATGTCGCATGCCTTCATAACACTAAGCGCTTCCCGCTTCCCCTGACGCTTACATAGCGCTAAGTCATCGGTTTCTTGGCCCACTGAGCATGCTCGTGAGGAGCCTTGCGGTCTGTAAACTGTGCTGCCGGTTGACGTCCACCACTGTTTACATGGTTCCAGTAGTTGTTAAATGACACGAAATCCTCCAGACCCAAATCGACCGTCTTCGTTCGCAGCATTGCGGCTAATAGCGAGCGCAGTTTTTCCACCTGATCCGAGGACAGCGTCTCGGAGTCTTCTAGCTTCTTTCTGTTTCTGCTGCTTGGTTGCTTGGCCGAAGTCAGATGGTCCATGTCCAAATCTCGTGCATTCAGCAGCGTCACACGCATCGTGTGGTACAAGTGGAAAGCAGTCCAGAAGAGATGAGGCCACGCACCACCTGCAGTGTGGCTCGGACTAAAGCGCTTGAACTCGTAACGGAACGCCATCAGGTGCACACGAGTTCGAACCGAGAGGTTCTGCAGCAAAGAAGTGAATCGGAGCACAGCTTTGCCATTGCTGCGAGCTCCTTCCGGCAGCAGCACGATCGGTCCGGAGGCACGACGTACCACGTCTGCAATCTTTCTCGTGGGCTTGACCCGTTCAGCAGTCACAGGCATCGTCAGGGACCGGTACAGCGCTTCGAGCAGTCCGCACACGTGTACGAGGTTTCCAGTGTCACTCTTTTCGTCTATAGCATAGACAAAGACTGGAGAGAATCGTTTGGCTAGGTACAGCACCTCGAGGAAGCTCGTGGAGTTGCAAACGACCACGTCACCACGTCCGACTCGAGACGAGCTCTTGGAGCGCTTCGATTTGCCTGTAGCAAGCCCCAATCGACGCATGTTAGCAGCTTCTTCCGAAGCAAAGACGCCAAAGAGGAGGAGCAGCAGAGAGCACAACAGGTACTCAATCAGACGCTTCAGTAGTCGCCCAACAAACGGGATCACGGTCAAGATGGACACCACAATGTTGACCAAAACGAGCGCCACGGTGACCACGAGCACCAACGGGAACCGCACAATTGCCAGGAGAGAGCCACATGTTACTTGGAGGATTGTCACAGGCCATCCAGAGACAAAGCGCCAACGCTGAGGCACGAATGGGTTGATCCCCGTCGTCAGATCGGCCCACCTGCTATACTTTTCCATTTGTGCTCGTGAGAGCGTTCGTTCGTTGCTTAAGTGCGTCGGGGGCTCAGAACAGCAACATAAGACAATGTTGCTAAACAAAACGAACTTAACGACACATTTGCCTCGTCATGTCGAGACGTGTGCCTCGAGCAGAGCTGCCGTTGGAGGATGGCGACGACGTGGACGAGTTCATGCGTCAGGAGGCTGCGTACCGAAAGGAATTTGAGCCTGTCGCGCCTTGGAAACGCGACAACATTCCTGACTACGGACCGCTGCAGGAGCATCATCACGTGCTCATCTTTGGTGTCGTGGGTGCTGCGTGCACGATTTTCTACGAATGCACCGACTATTTCAGCGAGATCCACCGGTTAGTGGCGTACGTGGCAATCTGGTGCCCGCTGTGGTTCCGTCTGCTTGGTCGTGTGTCTCCCGCACCGACGGACGAGGAGCTGGATGCCAGAGAACGACGCGAGTTTGAGAGGAACCTGCAGAGAATCGCAGACGAAAAGGACAAGGTCGACGAGGATAGTTGACGAGCTTGATACGGAGAGACGACCTCTTTAGAAATCTGGATCCCAATGGGTATCAACAATTCCACTCTCACCTGTCGGTTGTTCTTCGTGTCGTAGCCAAGTCCTCGTCCTCTTTGCTCAGTCCACGAGCTGCTCAAACGTCCGTCCTACTTGCGGAACCAGCCGAAAAAACCGCCAGTCGCACTGGCATCTGCAGTCTCGGCAGCTCTCTCGGCGTCTGTCTTCGTGCGCTGTGTCAGGTCTGGAAACTCGAGCTCCTTGAAGGCCACGTCGAACAGCAGTGGCTTGCACGGCACGGCGCGGAACTCGGGTGGCAGCTTCACTAACTCGCGGTGGCCCTCCATCGTACCAGCGTCAAACTCGTTCTGACGATCCACAAGAGTACGGACTCGACGTTTCTTGCATTTTTTGTCCTTCTTGCCCTTCTTACCCGTTTCCTTACCTGACAACGACAACTGATCCAGCTCCACACGCATGGCATCAGCACACGTTGAAGACCTCAAAAAGCTCTCTGCTGTCGCACGACTAACAGCACCCGCAAGCTCTTCGTGCAGTTCGCGCGTAAGCTCCTGCAGAAGGTCGTCTTTAGCTGCCGGCTGTGCAGCCAGAATGTCTTCAGCTTCGGTCAAAAACCCGGATGCGTACTGGTACAAGGCCATCGCTTCCCCGAAACCATGCTGCAGCAGGTAGGTCTGTGCAATCGTCGTTGCACGGCACGCACGGAAGACCGCGTGGTAGGCACTGTACTGCGAAGCGCGACGGGGCTCAAGCTCACGTAGACCAGGGATGATCAGAATGCCACCCACAGTCTGTACAAGCATGTCCAGAATATGCGTGAGCTCACCAGCCTGTTGCGCCGAGAAACACTGCTTAAGTGTCCGATATACAGTAGCTTGGCGATCAAGCTGCTTAGTCAGCTTCTTGAAGCGTGCATACTCCTCCAGCGCAGCGAGTAACTCCAAGTCCGAGTGTACAAGCGCACTGCCGCTTTTGGCCTGCTGTTCCAACTTCATTGTGGCACTCTTCAGAGTGTGCACAAGTGCATCGTAGGCACTTAGTAACTCCAGAAATCGCGCCTCACGGGCCCTTTCATTCTGCGCCGCTTCCAGCTTGGCAGCAAGCTCATCGGTGCGAACAACTGCCAAACCGATCTCCTGTGTCGGCACTGTAAGCTGCTGCTGCTTCCACTCCACAGACCCCAGATTGGCGACCTTTTGCTTCCGCGCTTCAAGCAGCACTAGCTCAATCTTCGACTGCAGCAGGGAGTTGTTGGCACCCTCGCTGCCTGCTTGCAACTCCAGCGACGATGTCTCTGCTGGACTGCCTGTGCATCCCTGCAGCGCCAGTCGATGCTCACAAAAGCGGATGAACGGCTGCAGCTCATCTGCTGAGCGCGAGAACAGCTCTTTTTGGGAGAACGTGCCCACCTGCGACAGGTCTACGTAGATGCGTCGCACAGTACCAAACTTCTCCAAAGCTTCCACATGTTCTTCTCGGTGAAAAGCCAAGTTGCCAGCCATGTAAGCAGCATAAGCCTCTGCTTCGAGACTCGTGCGGGCGTCAGCGCGAACTGTGCAGATCGCAGCCAGTCGCTGACTCCACTCTGCAGCCTTGCGGAGACGCCCCGTCAAGTGGAATTTAATGCGCGAGTTGGCGTCTTCTCCGTTCTCCAACTTGTCCAAATTGTCGTCCTCCTTCAGTTGCATGGCGTAAGCCCAAGCCCGCTCGGCTTTGTACAGCGGCAGATACAACAGCCGATGCTCGATCGCCGTCTCAGCGTCCACCTTCTTGTTAATAAACTGCTTCCCTTTTCCGTGCGTAAACTTGACCGACTTGCGGATGCGGCGCAGGCGGCGGGTACAGTACTGACGGTAGCGCTGGAAGTCGCGATGACGCAGTCCATTTTGCAGCTGTGCAGCTTTTACGGTCTCGAGAACTACAGCCACACGGAGTTCAGTACACAGTACACCAGTTTACGCACAAAAGGAGCGTATAGAGCAGTAAGGTACGTACTGGGGACACTCAGAACCTCGGCAATCATCGCAGGCGCTTCCTCCGTCTTGGCTCCCTTGGCCATCGCCTTCTGTTCAATACCGGTTTTGCTTCGATACTACCGAACGATCGATCCAAATACAGGGTGGGTGCCGTGTGTCCCTCTTCCGAGTGACTACATCGTCATTCGAGCCAATCCATGTGACGAACATAGTGTAGACATCGAGTGGTTTGCACACCCTGTCTGGTGTGCAGCTAATGTGCCATTAATCACCACGACATCGAGATGCAGAACTGCTACTACCCGTTGCCGACGCAGCCGCAACTGCCTGTAGCTGCAAAGGATGACGCACTGGCGCAGTGTCTGAACAAAACTCGATCAAGTGCCGATGAGATGCGGCGTCCTTTTATGCAACTAGGAGCCGTGAGTGGTGCCGCTGGATCGGCGTACGTTGAGTTGGGGCGGACCCGAGTGGTCTGTGCTGTCTACGGCCCGCGGGCAGATACACGAGCGTGTCGCGAGTTCAGCAAAGAAGGCCAATTGGTTTGTGATGTCAAGTACGCTCCATTTGCCGATAAATGGACCCGTCGCGAGCGTGGTCAGGACCCGGACGAGATGGAGCTGTCGGCTATAATGGAGGAGGCGCTGGCCCCCGCTGTGATGCTGCACAAGCTGCCCAAGTGCATTATGTCGGTGTTTGTGACTGTGCTGGAGGATGATGGAGGAGTCTTGGCTGCTGCTATCAATTGTGCATCATTGGCGCTGGTTGACGCTGCTGTAGAGATGTACGACGTGGTCACGGCTGCTAGTGTGGTGAGGTTTGACAACGATGGGACGAGGTGATGACAAGCTTTGTGCAAGCCTGGACTGACAACTGTATGCTGTATGCTGAGTTAGGGTATTGTGAATGGCTGTGTGGTTCTGGATCCGAACAGGGATGAGGAGCAGCGTGGAGATGGCAGGCTGGCGCTGGCCTACATGCCGTCGATGGAACGTGTCACGTACATGCTGCAAGCTGGCAAGATTCAGCACACGCAGTTGCAAGAGGCGGTGGACCTTTGCACGGACGCGTGCACCGGAGTCACACGGTCGTCACTCACAGCGTCGCTCATGCAGGCTCTGTCCTGATTTTCTTAAATAGGAGCACCATACACATTCATTGCAATGACAAAGCTTTTTTGTGTATTTACTGCTTGTATGCTCGTTCAACTGGCACATAGGCAAGAGCTATGTTGCGCACCACCACCATTGCACGGTGGATAAGCACTAGAAGCACGTCATGATGGTGCCCGATATCTAGGTAGCAACCTCCGCCTTCCGGTTCTTGAGCAGGCTCTTCATAAAGAACTCACCAGCCTTGTAACTAGAGCGCACCATTGGTCCACTTGCCACGTACAAAAAGCCCATTTGCTCGGCCACCTTTTGCCACTCAGCAAAAGCCTCTGGTGTCACGTACGACTTGACCGGCATGTGCTTTGTGCTCGGACGCAAGTACTGGCCAAATGTCACAACGTCTACTCCACTGTTGCGCAAATCACGCAGTGTTTGAAACACATCCTCATTACGCTCACCTACCCCCAGCATCAGTGACGTCTTCGTCACGAGGTGCGGCGCGACGACCTTGACGCGCTCGAGCACGTGGAGCGACTGTTTGTAGTTGGCACGGTAATCACGCACCCGACGCTGCAGTCGTTCCACCGTCTCCAAGTTGTGCGCAAAAACGTCGAGTCCTGACGTGGCCACCTGGTCAATCAGCTCATTTTGGCCCTGAAAGTCAGGCGTCAGACATTCAATCAGGATCTTCGGCAGCTTGGCACGCAGCGTGCGGACAGTCTTGGCAAAGTGGCTTGCACCAAAATCCTCATAGTCGTCGCGGTCGACACTCGTAAAGACAATGTAGTCCAGTCCCCAAGCAGCAATCGCTTCTGCCACCTTGTTCGGCTCTTCAACATCCAATGGAGCCGGTTTCTTGCTCGTCTTGACAGCACAAAAGCTGCAGCCACGTGTACACGTGTCTCCCATGAGCATGATAGTTGCCGTTGCAATGCCGTCCTTACCACCTCCCCAGCACTCGCCAATGTTTGGACACTTGGCCTCCTCGCACACAGTACTCAGTCCCAGACTCTTGACCGTCTTGCGCAGTCGCTCGTAGTTGGCGCCTTGCGTAGGCTGCGCCTTGAGCCACTTAGGCTTGCGGTTCGATGCATTGGGTTTACGTGAAGGCTTGGAGCCAGGTGTGGCGTCGGCTTCAAACGCAAAGTCCGAGAGCGACAGCGCCTGCTCGGCGAACGTCGGACCAAGATGCGCCTCCTCCGTGAGTCGTTCGCGAAGCGCTGCAAGACGAGATCCACCGGTGGAGCGAGTGAGCTGCACAGAAGCAGCACTGCTGCTCAAACGGACGCGCTCAGCAGCCACGCGCGTGCATCGCATCAAAGGCGTCGCGAGCATTCTTCGTCCGGATAAAGTATTTGTGACTTTTGTCGGGTGGCGAAGCGTCCTTCCATACCCACTAAATCAACGTTTAGGATTGATCAAAATCGAGCTCGAAGTCGCATGTATGGGATTGGTCGAAATCAAGCTCGAAGTCGCATGTATATGATTGGTTGTATAGGTGCATGTCTGTCGTTTTTGCAACCGTCCTATCGTATTCTCGAGTCACGAGCATGATTGGAGGTGCGGCACGCGGGCTGTTCCAGAGTGCGCGACAAGCGCGACGAGCGAGTGTGCGACAGATGAAGAAGCAGCAGCGGGTGCGAATGGATGGCAAGCAGACGGAAGGGACGAGGCGAACTGTGTACGGATTAGCGCGTGACGAGAGCGTGATCACCAATCAGCAGAGACAGACGATTGGACGTGCGCGATATTTCGAGACGGTATTGAGTGACTGGGTTTGCAGGAGCAGCAGGGCGCAAGATGCTGAACAACTTTTCTACGTTGTGTCTATCAGATGCCACGGGTTGTGATGATGGGAACTGCCGGTATTCTAAGCGTGGGAGCTGTTGACGCACTTAACATGATGCTGAAAGACTTGGCAGACGACGATGATGACGGGCGATAATGGCGCTTAGCAGCGCAGCAAAATAGCAAGTAGAACCGCTCGTTTCATACTTGTTGTAAAAAAAGGAGTGGCGATGAAGGGCGTTGTTATAAGCGAAGGAAAATTATAGCCACGTTGCGAACGGTGCGATAGCCAGAAGAAAGATTATGTGTTTTACAACTCACACTTCCAGCTATAGAAACGTCTTGCTCATCATCTACCACCTAGCGGGAGGTAACTCTGTTCCTTGGTATCCTTAAACGAATATAGTCGCAAGAAAAGAGCCCACATTCAACCGCTACCTTACTCCAGCACAGGGAACTCAAACACAACGTCTTTGTTTGTAAGCTTCTTGTACACGGTAGCGAACGTGTCGAGCTTAGTCTCCACGTTGACCTGATCCTTGGGGTCCAGGTGCACCTTAAGTAGCTTCGTGCCGTCAAGACGGCAGCGCGTGCGCTTTCCGACAATTTCCGTGGGATACACGAGGTCCTGTAAACAGAATGGCAAACAGAAGGTCAAGAACATGAGCATACGGCATGGGGTAGCTAGCACCCAGAGGCCATCATCGAATTTTTCCAGCTGAAATGAAACAGGACACAGCACAAGTCAAGTCTGATGCACGTCACGTACGTCAAGGATCTGCTCCTGCACGTGGGTGAGCGTACGAGAGCGAGGGCGCGGGCCTGCGCCGTGGTTGGCGCGAGAGTAGCCCTTGCCCAGAATCGTGCGCTGGGCAATGATCACGACGTGACGGCCAGAAAACTTCTTCTCCAGCTCACGCACAAGGCGGGCCTGGATCTTCTTGAAAGAAGCGTGAAGACGGTAGGGCACAAAGATCACAATAGCCTTGCGGCCTGACGAAATGTCCACCTGTTTAGCGGCGGTGATGTGCAGGTCCTTCAGGTCGTTCTTGATCTCGGCAGCGGACTGCTCAAGGTTGAAGAGCTCCTGAGCCACTTGCAGCTCGAACTCGTCGGCAGTTTGGCCCTGAGGCTTGACAATCTTGGAGGCCATGGTTGGAAAAGAGTGCGTAGGTGTCGTTGAGCAAAACAGCGAGTGAATGGATCATCGAAGGAGATGCTGCTGGCCAGTCGATTCACTACTCGACTCAGATCTGAGGTGACTGGAATTTAGACGAATGAAGAAGGAGGACTTGTGTCAACAACGACTTGAACCGGTTCTTACACCGTCATCATCGCTCTTTAGCTGAACTACCAATTTTTAGACTTCACCCTCGTTTTCGAGCATCGTAGGGAATGGCATCCGAATTTGCAGCTCGCGGTGTGATCGATGAGATCATGGATATATCCTAGTCGTCATCGTTTGTTAAACCACGAGAATGGCTACAATATATCCCGATCTCCGAAACTAGAGGAGTATGCCATTATGTCTGCGGTAATCCAGTTGCAAGGCTCGAGAATAGTCAGGCTGGTCGCATAGTAGTAAACAGCAATTGTCAAGTGCCAGGTGTCATCGTGGTAGATAACGATTGCAATTGATGGCTTTATCCAGTCATTAGTGCCAAAAAATACCAGAAAGTGACGATTCATAAGTCAGAATCGAGGTGAGTTGACTACCTCGTAGAACAGCCGCGCGACTACGTCGTAGTTTCTGTCAAGTCGCGCATGTTTTGCATGTAGCAGCTGATAGGCATCCTTTACGGATATAAGTTGGCGCAAGTACCGCTAGACTAGACGGACGACATCTTGTACACTTGGATGCATCCCTGTTTTTGGAACAGCTATCACATCGGCAAGATACCTCAACCCTTTCAAATCATGTACGTCGTTCGCTGCTCTCGAAAATGTCATTACTGTCGTCGCTTTGGAGCATAAATGTAAAGGGCCGATGCGCAAATTGCAGTGCAAAGGTAGAAGTATCAAGTGTAGTCCCTATACCCAGCACTCCAAACCCGAGTGCGATAATTAATTGCCGTCTCATGCAGTAGCACGTGTACCAACCGATTACTTGATCCCCAGCTGAGTCTTGCAATCTTGACAGTACCACTTGCCTTGCGGCTGATCCGTGAGTCCCACACAACTGAAGTGAAACCACTCGTACTTGCAGTCGTCGTTATCGCAACCCACCATTTGTCCAAATGACACGCGACGACAACTGCAATAAATCGGCTCGTTTGGATCAATTGGCAGATCCTCCGAGGCCAGCAGCATTGGCTCAGAGGCAACCGGCTCCACCACAGTAGTTTCAGTGGTTGGTCTCTTCCTGGACGACGAACTCCCTCCACCAGAGGCTTTTGACACCGCAGAAACCGACGACTTGTCCTTCATGCCAGTACCTGAAGCTGCTACTACACTGTTTTTACTGCGGACATTGGCCACGTGAGGGGCTGCATGACTCTGACTGCTGTATTGCACTTGATGCACTGTCGTAGCAGCTACCTTCTGCTTCTTGCGCTGAGGCCGGCTATCTTCCTGGTATTCTCCATTAGCTTTTAAAAGTGCCGCATAGCTTTCCAACTCTCGGTCGAGGCGACGAATGTGGTGGTCCACAATGTCGTAGCTCTGAGCTGCAATAGCAATCTTCTCGTCCAGTTTTTGCACCACCAAAGCATGTTTCTCCTCCAAACTCTCCAGTTGTTCCTTGGCACCAATAATCTCTCGCAGTTCCTGCTCCGTAGGTTCACTTTTCGTTGTGTCGTTACATCGAGCAAGCACCTTTTGTCTCGAGTCGATCAAGTACACTTTTTGCTCTTTCTTAAGTTCTTCAAAGAGCGGGTAGGATGTCTGTAAAAAGAAGGGCCATTAGAACAAGCACGAGAGCAGAAACAAGAGCTACGCACCTTGTCTAGGTCTCGCATAAGGTCAAAGTTGCGCTTGATCTCCGACGGCAACATGTACATGCTCTCCAGGTAGTCCTCTACGTACGTGCCCATGTTGGTGGTAGGTTTTCACTGACTTTGCGCGTGGCGAGAGGTGATGATTGCAAAAAATTCGTACTTTGATCTTGCGACGGTATTTGTCAAATAGAGTGCTCTATAATAGCGTACTCCCTCCAGTAGCCTCCCTGGTATCATTATTCAAACTGAGAGAGAGGCTCACGATATTATGGCTACCACCTCCTCCTCTCATAGAATAATCATAACTATCATTCAGCCGCCACCTGTCGTCCTCTTGTCCACTTCAACTTGTGCTCGCGCTGTCATTTCGTTTGTATCCGCATACGCCTATCTTCCTCTTTAGCAATCATAGCTTCTTCCCAGCTCCGACATCGTCATACGTCCCACACGACGACAAAAGGCCTATCGCGCCAAACGCAGCGTTACCTTCTCGACCTTCTGACGTGTGCACCATATTACGGTAACAATGTCGTCTTTCAAACATTTAGATGAGACGCGACAGTTAACTCTCACCAAGAGGCTCATGAGAGATTACTCGTCTTGTCATCTTGAAGATTTTGTCTGCGGATCCAAGAAGTCGGGTGTATGTTCAGGCATACGTCAGAGTTCACGGTGGGCACATTATCGGTGCACGAAGACAAAAAATTCAGGTGATGACCCGGAGAGGAAACCGGATGTGCAACCAGGATGACGGACGATGATCACCAAGCGTATTCGACTCTACCAAAATCGATAATACAAACTAAATTATGCTTATGATGCAGTATTTGCAATGTTGTAAGATCGACAGGTGATTTCTTTTGGTCACGTTAGATACAATCGGTTGGTCTCAAAAGATCGTGGTGCTGTTATTGCCTGAATGGCAAGTTGGGAGCGACACAGAGCTCATGCTCACATTCAAGTATTTTCAACAAGGTGTGCTCGTCTTTGGATAACATCGAATATGTTAGCGGAGCCCCTGCCGCGGTTTAGTCGCGCGGGTGTTATTCATGAGCAAACGCCCTGCGTGAACCACCCGTAAAAATGTATGTTTTGGCGAATCTGCAACACCACGTGTTTACTTGGTAAAGGAGCACTTGTGCGTATGAACAAGTAATCACTTGACCATGCTGTCAACTGCTCATAGAAATACTCTCCACTTGCAGGAATATTACCGTATGTCAGCAGACCTCGAAACACAGCGCTCAATAGACGGGTTTTGACTGTCTATTGATCGTCTGAACATAGTTCGCCGATACAACGGGCCGTGGCCGTAGTACAAGCTCTCGATCAACGATGTGTATTCGATCACTTTGCAGGTAGAATGACGACGCCTGTAAAAAGTGGCCTGTTAATCGAAACGTTGCTTTTCCTCATGTCACGTACATTGAGAATCGAGGCGACCGCCCACAGGATACCTGAAAATTTGTGGAAATTATGAAGCTTTCGTCTCGTGAGCTTTACGCGTTGACCGTTGCATCAATTGGTGACTAGTGTTTACTTTTTCATCATCTTTATTAGTTAACATTCACACGTTTACAGCAACACAAAAGTGACCTTTATATTCAATGACATCAACGATCAGGTATTCATCAGGATGTTGTCAGCGATCACTAGGGCTCACAAGTGGTGCAGCATTTTCCAGTGCTTCTACCGTGCAGTCATCCGCAATCCGTCTCTTAGAACTTGGACACGTCACGGCCAACAACGATCGCCTTGAGCCAGTCCAGAGGCACCTGCACCCGGAGACGCCAACTTCCCAGCTTCGTCAGATACGCACTACGCCACAGAAACCATGCCTTCCATCCACTGAGCGTGATGTTGTCGTCGTCACGGGGGTGAGCCTCAAAAAGTCCTTCGTACGAGCCCAAGTACGCCATCATGCCTTTGCTACGAAAGGCGTACGGTTTCGCTGGTGCCACATTCTTACCGCGAAAGAGCGAAAGAAGGTAGTTCGCCTGAGTCTCCGCTTTCTGGGCCGTCGCCGGCAGTGGGTAGTCCAAGATCTCAGCGCAGTCACCGATTGCAAATACATTCGAGCGCCGCGGCATTCCCCATGGAGATTTCTCTTCAACTTCCGCAGCACCCAAGACCTGGCAGTACTGGTTGGTCAGGATATTGCCACGGTCACTCTTGTCAAATACCGTCAGAGCCTTGGTAAGTTCGTTTGGGCCGACACCTGCAGTCCATACAACAAGACCAGCCGGAATCTTCTCGCCACCCTCCACTATAACACCGTCTGCAGTGACTTCGATACAGTTCTTTTTGACAATATCCATCGTGTCGCGTTTCTGGATCTTACGCATGGCCACAGTACGCAAGTGTTTATCAAATCCGTTCAGTATCTCGCACGAGTCCACCAGCGTCACGCCCAGATGCTTGGACGTCTGTGGGTACTTGTGTACTAGGTCCTGCTGCACCAGATCGTACAACTCAGCACAGAACTCAATTCCTGTGGGTCCGCCACCAACCACGACGAAATGCAGCAAGCGCTGCTTCTCTTCAAGGGTCACATTCGGCTGAGTAGCAATTTCAAAGTTCTCAAGAATGCGATTGCGAATCTTCTGCGCGTGGTGAATCTCTTTAAGAAAGAAAGCGTGCTGGTCCACGCCAGGCAATCCGAACGTCAGTGGATTGGAGCCGCATGCTAGCACCAAGGCATCGTACTTCACGTCGTATTTACCATCGCGGCTCTCAGCGGTGACAGCCGACTCGACATTCAGGACTTTGAGCTCGGGGTTGACATTCCGTACGTTGGCAAAGTGAAAGTCGCTCTCGTGACTGAACATACTGTCCCGAAGCGGCTCGATTATCGAGCGGGGCTCCAACGTTCCGACGGTCGTGCTAGCCAGTAACGGCGTGTAAAGGAAGTGCTGTCACCAATAAACAAAAAGAAAAAGGATCATGTATCATCACCTGGTAATCAGCACAAAAGTCCAGACGTACGTTGCGTTTCGATACGACGACGAGGTCAACCGGTCGACCAACGTTTTCTTCAATATCGACGAGGTGTTTCCGACATTGCGTGAGCATTTGGTACCCGGCCCAGCCCGTGCCCACGATGACGAGTTGGAAGTTCTCAGGTTTTGTGACTTCATTTGGATGGACATCAAGGGATGACATCGTGCGCTTCGTGAATGTACACCGACCAATGCGCACGGCTGAGGTCGTGTTCAAGAGCTGGCGACGAGTGAACATCTGAAAGGAGCGGGGGTGTCGGTGGTTACGAGAAAATGGAAAAGTGAGGGCTTATTAGTCACAAGGATCCGTCGTTTCGACACTTGGTTGTATTTTGGTGTATGAGACGTTCGTCTGCTACCACTACTTTACATCATGCACTGCTTTATGTTACAGAAGAAATCAGGCATTTAAGTACAAACAGGTGGGTTCCAGTGTAGCATAAACATTTACAGAAATATCCATCTCGGATCGTCATCTACCTGGCCACGCTGCATAGAAGAAGTAGAATATCGACTAATAGCAGGTTGTGCTGTAGTGGTTCTTTTTGACACGGCTAGCAAAGCCAGCAGAAGCAAAAAACAATCGGCTTAAATGGATGAGGTGATAGTACGAGGAGTATTAAAGGTCCACACCTACCCCCTGATACGGACACGTCAACGCTCTATTACGTACACGCCAATCGAACTGCCTGGAGCCACACGAAACACTGGTCAGCCACATAAACCCCTTTTTAAGGGAGTTACAAACACCGTCTCTAAGCCCTTCACAAATGGTTTTTACAAATTACAAATAAACCTGGCATATTTGATATGACCCGTGGACCACAAGTGTATCATTTGTAGCAATAGCATCAAATCTTAGAGGTGCAAACACCCTCTAGTCATTAGCAGCCCTCAAAACCTGTAAAGAGCCCGAATTACGTGTTCAAAACCTAATCTTAGTTCAATTCCAAGTCAAGCAACGCAACAATTAACTTTTTGCGCAACACATTGTTGGTGATACGTTGTGCATATGCATTAGAGTGTAGATACATATGCTTGGGTTCTAGTTTGTGCGAGTTTGTGTAACAATTGTGTACATAACTTAAATTAGAGTTGTGTGTGACACATTTCGTGTACGCTTGTAGCCCAACTGGGTTGGTGTGGCAGCGTCATCCAAGAGGTCACCGATTCGAAAACCGGTACGGGCAAAAGTACAAAGTTAAGCCTTCGGTTCTGGCGTATAGGGTTCACCAGCACTGCCTGCCAGCAGTGACGTCCCCTACTTTTGAAATGATGACACTATCAGAGAGATAGGAAAGAATTCGCTGTTCCAACCATTAGCAGAAAAAAATAACTGGACAGCAAATGTAACGGGGCACCCTCAAGCTTGTACTGATGATAGTACTAGCTACTTATTCAGATGACAGAATGAGGCGGTGCCGTGTAACTTCACGTACACTGGTACGTGCAGAGGAAGACGGTTAGGAGAAGCGAGTACTTGGTTAAAGTAAAAAGCAGAACTGCATTTATCATTGTTAATGTCTGTCAATAAACCACTGTTTATCCTCATCTAACTATGTCTAAATACAAATGTGTATATCAACTACCTGCTCACCACTCATTGCGTGCGTCTGTCGTGGCGCGTATTCGTTGGTTGATACATTGGCCTACATCAACCAATTAGGAACTACTCGTAAGTGCTGCAGAATTTTTCTCCTTATGACAACATTCTGAGAATATACTCTTATAGTTATATTCTATTAACAGTTTCTTATAAATTGTTATGTAACGGTTCACCCCGTTCCATCACCCCCCCCTTAACCATCATTCACTTTAGTGACTAATTGACTAAATGGACACTCGTCCCAAATCATTTGGGATAGGGTTTGCACTAGTTGGTCCGAGTCCACATTTTATCAGTTTCACGGCTTGGTTAACAAGTCCATGCGGTGCGCGAACAAGGCCGCTGAGAGCGCGTCTGCACGTCTCTGTGCAGACGCCGAAGCAGAAACCGCTGCAAATGATGTGTCATCGGTTGCTAAAGCGTCTCAGCCTGTATCACCTGGTGATGCAGGTGCTCGTCATGAAGACACTCATGTATTCACAGAGCATGAGCTCGGAGTCTCATACTCTCCTGACACGGAAGACGGATCCGTATCGACGGCGATCGAATCCAAGCCGTCTGCCAAGCGTGGCATGGATGATGCTATGCGCCGCAGCATCTTTGGTTCATCTGATAAATCGTATGAGCTATCGCCGAAGCGAAGGCGCTCGAAGTCGCGAGACTCGGGCGCTCACAGTGGTGTCGGTTCTCCTATTGACACCACTTCGCAACGAGGTGCCAGTACTTCTGTCGGCACGTCGCAAGAAGAGCGGGACCGCAACGTGTTGCGCCTCGCTCCCAAAAAGAAGGCATCGCTGCATCCAAAGTCGGTCATGGATCGCTTGTCGGCGACGACAAGTGATCGCTATCGTTCACGATTATTCGATTCGTCAAGGATCCATCACCTTGACCCCAGTGCGAAAAACTATCGCGCTGAGAATGAATTATTCATCGATGCTTTCTTTAAACATCGATGGTACAGTGGGAATCACAAACGTGATGGTCCCTCACGGCTCCAAGCGTGGAACGCTAACATCCGTAACCTTGAGGATGTAGGTCGTGGCGTTTGGAACGACAAACTTATCGAGGCTCGTAATAAGTTTGAAACGCGAACCCCGATAGGTGCACGCTATAAGCTGCATCGTCTGTCAAAGGAGGGTGGGTTATGCTGTCTTTCCTGGGGAGACCCGTGCCCTTGTTGTGCAAACAACTCTGCGCGCGCACCTAAGGAGGCCTACCTCCTTACTAGCCCGTGGTGGCGCGTACGTATCTCTACTAGATGTACGAAGGGTTTGACAACCTGAAATCCGTTTACGACCGTGCCGGGAAGACTTACTCCGGCGTTCTTTATGCGGCACAGGATTTGCCGCGTCGTACTGCTCAACCAGACCCAGTACGTCAATCATCAGTTGGGGTCGGGGCTCCCAAGAATCCCAGGACGGGGGATAGCCGCGCCACCGGACGAGATAACTCGTCCGACAATCGTTCACATCGCGGTGGCTCAACAGCCGCTCAATCAGATAGCGCTGGCTACCGCGAGAGTCCTCCAACGAGGGTGGAGGAGGAGGGAAAACGCTCTCCAAACTATCTTTGGGGAGCGTGTGTCTCCAAGAGCTTCTTGGATCGCGTAACTCTTGCGTTACGCGGCGACCTCGAGCATGAGCGGGACAGGTGTCTTCAACTGGCAGAAAAATGTCTTGAAGCATCGAGCTGAGTATGCTTTTTCTCAGCTTGAGCACGAGAGAGCTTTGACATCTCTGCGTAACGAGCTAAGGGTAGCTCGTGTGTATTGACCGGTCTCGGGCTGAGATAACTGCTCTTCGGACCCTTGTTGACATCCATCATCGGGAACACAAGGCTCTCTGTGAGATGCTTGAGCGCAAGGGCGTTCTTCATCGGAAGAAACAGCGTACTGATGGTACGGCTTAAGCCGACCAACGTAAAACGTGGGATGCGTTCGCATCTGACGTGGCAGTTCGATCGTGTATGCGTTGCCTAGGCGATGCAATACACGAAATGGACCGATGTACTTGGGTAGTAGTTTACTGCTACCCACGTTAGTCACTACATGCTTTGGTAGATTAATCGTAGACAGTAGGACTAAGTCACCTTTGATAAAAAAAGAGAGTTTGCCCTTCCATTCTTGTCTTCGTTTTTGTTTTTGCTTATCCACCGCTTCGGCGATGGAGTCTTGCACAAAACGGACTACCGTTTGACGAGCCAGTATGAACTCATCTGATGACTCGTTTATCTTCAGTGCGCTGTGAGTGCACTGCAGCGACATCAATCGTTTCTTCAGTGAGGGCTTCCTCGCTCTCACTGGCATCATCTTCTTCGATATCGATGTTGTCGATATCGGCAACACACGCAATGACCTCATCGTCAGAGCGTGATGAGCGTGAACCGAATCGGTTTTTGCTCGCGCGAGTCCCCTTCCCCTTTAACCAGAGTTACACTCTAGTAAGGTGGGGACACGCAGTTGGCGCAAGCCATTCACGTAAAACGGTGTATGTGTCGTGGACGCATGCACAGAGTTGTTAATGGCAAACTCTACCATTGGCAAAAACTCACTCCAACTCTTAAAGGAGTGTACGTATCCTCGAACTATCTCTTCGAGGACACAATTGGCTCGTTTTGTCCGACCATCTGACTCTGGATGATCAGATGTTGACATCTTCAAGCGCGTTCCGAGTGATTAGAACACGGAACGCCAGAAATCAGCTGTGGAGCGTGGATCTCTGTCTGATACGAGTTCACGGGGCAACCCATGTAGTCGGAAGATGGTTTCGATAAAGACACAAGCACAGCCACTTGCTGTGATTGACTCTGGTACAGCCACAAGGTGTACCATCTTGCTGAATCTGTCAACAAATACAAGAATACCCGTATTCCTTCGTGCGTCTTTGGGTAACCCGAAGACGAAATCCATTGAGATGGATTCCCAGCACTCTTCCGGAACCGGTAGAGGCTGTAAAGGTGCACGCAGTGGAGGAATTGATTTCACTCGTTTACAGACTTCGCATGCGCGAACATACTTTCGCACAAACTGATACCGGCGGGGCCAGTAAAAGTCTCGACTCACCGTGATATACGTCTTCTCACGGCCACGATGTCCTCCTATAGGAGCATCGTGATACTCGAACATGATCCGCAAACGCAGATCAGTATCATCTGGGATGACAACACGTGGTGTGTCACCAGTAACGGCTGTATAATACAGTAAAACCGTTACGGGTAGTGTATCGATCTGATGCAGATAGATACGCAGACGATAATCGTTTCAACGATTCTCGAGATGGCTGTGAGAGATGTGTCAACAACTTCACAATCTCACCATCTTGGGCATACGCCCTCCTCACATCATCATGTAATATTGAAGATGGTATTGTGGACGTCATAACCGCAACAGTGGCTGTCTCACTGTTGGATTTCACGACTGGTTCAAAGTCGGGCCGACGTGAGAGTTCATCAGCGACGACATTAAGCCGTTCTGGTTTGTACTCTACCGTAAAGTTGTATTCTGCAAAGAATGACAACCACCGCGCCATTCGTTGTGAAAGGTGCGGGCTGTTTACTGCCGTGCGTAACGACGCCTGGTTTGTGTACACAATGAAGGGTCTATCTCCTAATAGATAGACTCTGAACTTCGCGAGTGCATACTTCATGGCAAGGAGTTCCTTGTCATGCACTGGATAGTTCCGCTCAGCTGGTTGCAGCCGACGTGACTGATAGCAGACGACGCGCTCTGCGCCGTCTGAGTCGTACTGCATTAATGCACAGCCGATTGCGAAATCGCTGGCATCACAGACCACATGAAATGGCCTGTCCTGATCGGCAATTGCTAGGACTGGGGATTGTATCAAGCTCTTCTTGATACCATCAAAGGAGCGCTGACATTCAGCGTACCATAACCACCTCTCGTTCTTTTTTAACAAACGACAGGTGTACAGTCATCTCGGCGTAATTGCGTGAATACTTGTGCAAATACGCCGCGAGCCCGAGGAATTTTTGAAGATCTTTGACATCAACCGGCACAGGCCAGTCGATGATCGCCTTGATCTTTTTGGGATCAGGACGTACACCGTTCTTACCAACGATGCACCCAAGAAGTGGTTTTTACTTTCTGCAAATATACACTTCTTGAGATTGGCATACAATTGATGCTTTCGCATGATTGTAAGAACCTGTCGGACGTGGTATCTGTGAACCTTAACGTCCGACTTTCCATCCACAGCCCGACTATGAATGAGTACGTCATAGAAATAGCTCGGTGCAAATTCTCGCACTGGTCTCAACACATGTGTGTCACATCTGTTGAACGTGGCAGGGGCATTACTAAGCCCTTGTGGCATTACTAGTCATTCTCAGAGCATGCCGCTAGGCGTGCTCACTGCGGTACAAGGTGTGTCCCGTTCTCGCATAAGGATTTTATAGGAGCCAACCATCAAATCCATGGACGAAAAGATGGTACTCTTTGACATACCATCAATGATTACATCCTTCCTTGGTATCGGCGTCTGAGCCGGTACCGTTGCAGCATTCAATTTGTTAAACGCGTGCACTATCCGCCACCCTCCTGTCGCTTTTCGCACACAGAAGGTCAGAGAGCTATGTGGGGAAGTTGATTCCCTCACATGGCCTGCAGCTAAACGATCGGCAAAGAACTTGTCGATCGCAAGTACTTGTTCACGAGGCAGTGGCCACTGCTTCATGACACAGTACTTCGAGCCTGGTTTAAGCTCGACCTCGTGTCGAATACCTTTATCCTTCGGTAATTCGCACGGAACAGTTTTAGGGAATACATCCTTGAATTCAACCAAATCCTCATAGAGAGGGTTTTCCTTGAGCGATTCCCATGATTGGGACTCATATCGCTCAACTCGTGTCTTTTCATCTAGGACACTCTCGTCCATAGATGAACTACTGAGAACTCTCTCGTTCTCAGTGAACACTGTTGCTGACCTTATGTCGGTTACACACTCGTCGTCAGCGACGAGTATGCATATCTGCTTGACTTTGCCACTACGCAGATCACGCAAGAACCTTTTATGCTCGAGCGTTGGCAACTGAGTGATCTCCGAAGTCAACTTCGGAGGCGCAATCAGATCAAGTGTATAAGCGCCTACACATGATCCGTTATTGACTATGCCATTCAATGTCTCTGTCATTTCCTGGGGACTTATTTCCTCAGGCCTCGAAGGACTGATTCCTTCGTCTTCCCGGGGACTTATTCCCGCGGGTTTCGGGGAACTTATTGCCGCCGTATTTGTAATCTTAGGACTTATTCCCTTTACTTCCTCTAGCTGGGGTTGCGCAACCACAGCGAGATCCTCTACGAAAGACTCTCCAGTCGATCTAGGATTATCGTTTCGCTTAACCTGAGCGATCGATTGTTTCTCTTCTAGATGTTCCCCTCTAGGGATACATCTTTGTCCCAGTCCACCCGACTTATTCGAGTGGTGGACCTTCGGCGCAGCCTGTGTTTCCTCACAGCCGCCGGAACTTTGCTCCGAAGTGTAACCGTTTGGTACACTAAGGTTTTGTGCAGTCGTACTAACGACCGTACCACAAGTGAGGCCATCGCACTCACTCGTAGTACATCCACACGCTTGTGGACGCTCCAAAACGTTCATCAGATGGCCATCTGATGAACAAGCGGCAGGTATCGTTACTGTTCGATGTTGCCAGTTTACCCGTGGTTCGTACCTTCTGAGCCACGGTATTCCAAGGATGACATCAAATTTGTCATCCAAATCCAATACGATAAAGTCATCGTCATATTGGGTATCTTCTAGCGTATAGTGGATCTTCACTACACGCTTCATGACGGTTACGGATGCGCCTGTCGCAAGACGTACCGTCATCCTCGTAGGAGGTGTGTCACATTCACTGAATTTAAAGTGACCACCTTCTAGCGATTGGCGTCGCACAAAATTGTTGGACGCCCCACAATCGACTAGAGCTCGAAGGGACAACTTATTCGTCACTTCGAGTTTCAAGGTAATGAGTGAGACCTCATTACCTAGAGCAGCAACGCACAACGTCTGTGTGTTGGGAGCAACCTTCATCAAGAGGCCTACAAATTCTCTTGACGTTGCTAGACCAGTAGGGTGCTCCGCACCTACTGATCCTGTCCGTTTTTTGACGGTCCATCCCGTTGTTGCGTCTTTGCACCAACTGCGGACCCTCGTCCCTGCCCCTTTCTCATGGGTGGACGGTCACTACGCCCAGTGTCGCGAGACACTGGACGAGGGGCACTACACTCGTAAGCGTAGTGTCCTGTCTTCTGACATCTGTTGCATCTCTGCAACTTCTTGTAGCCTGTAGAGCGAACCTTCTCGCTCTCTACATAACAGAGTTCCATCGGCTCTGGACCTCCGTTGTCATATCGTCTCGGTTGACGATATGATGTCGAGCTGGCGCGAGCCTGTCTCAGACTGAAGTCTTCCTGCTCCGCAATGGAAATGGCTTGTTCTAGTGAATCTAGTTCAAGCCGGAACAGGTGAGTCTTGACGGGACCATCCGCAAGACCCTGCATGAACACCGAAACCAACGTGTGTTCATCCACCGGATTGGAACTTATACAACTCGTGAGATGTCGTATATGTTGAGCGTAAGCGTGCACATCACGCTTACCCTGCTTGAGCTTCAAGAGTTCGGTTCGAGCTCTGAACTCAGCTCTAGGCGGTTCAAACGTTTGTCTGAGCCGCGACTTGAAGACTTCCAACGACCCAAACGCATATGGGCCGTGCAACTTGAGCCCCAGTGCCCAAGTCTTGGCACGTCCTGCCAGATTTGACTGGGCAAATGCAACTTGCATATCCCCGTCGTCGATGCGACGCGCCCTTATGGCGTCATCCAATTCGACGAACCATCTCAAGAGGGAGTCTTCTTCGACCCCCTATACTTTGAGATGTCAATCTTCAAAGGTCTCGGGTCGACGCGAGTGCATCGACCCGCCAGCAGCAGCTTGCTGCTGTCTCAACAGTTCAAACTGTTGAGCACCTTGTTCTCTCAACAACTCTGCTTGTTGAGAACCTTGTTGGTGAAGCAAGGCTACTTTCTCGCGTTCTGCGTCAAGTTCATTTTGAATGAACTTGGCGATAGTAGCATGTTGGGCATCTCTATTGAGAGCCTCTAGCATGACGCTAACAGCATGGATGCCCATGGTCGAACCCATTCGTTCAACCGCATCCCATTCGACATCGCTCAAATGGGAGTAGCCGTCACGCGTAGCGTGAAAGCTTTGGTCATCTTCATCATCCAACATATTCATGTTGGATGTGAACGCGGTCCTTGGACGGACTACGAAGTGCTACCAGGTGTAACGGGGCACCCTGAAGCTTGTACTGGTGACAGTACAAGCTACTTATTCTGATAACAGAATAAGGCGGTGCCTCGTAACTTCACGTACACTCGTACGTGCAGAGGAAGACGGTAAGAAGAAGCGAGTACTCGGTTAGAGTAAAAGTAGAACTGTATTTATAATAGTTAATGTCTGCAATAAATCACTATTTATCTTCATCTAACTATGTCTAAATACAAATGTGTAAATCAGTTATCTGCTCACCACTCATTGCGTGCGTCTGTCGTGGCGCGTCTTCGTTGGTTGATATAATGGCCTATATCAACCAATTAGGAACTACTTGGAAGTGCTACAGAATATTGTCCTTATGACAATATTCTGAGAATATAACTCTTATAGTTATATTCTATTAACAATTTCTTATAAATTGTTATGTAACGATTCACCCCGTTACAGCAATGCTATGCGCGTGTGGCAAAGGAGAAGAGGAAGAAGCTGGACGACTCAGGCGTGCGATGTTTCTTTCTCGGCTACGCGAAGGATCAAAAGGCGTATCGGCTTCTTAGTGCGGACGATGGCTCGATCGTGATTTCAAGAAGCGTCACGTTCTCTGAGCATTCTGTCTCGAAAACATCGAAAAGCAGAGACACGCGGGTCTTCGATGTCATTGAAGAAGAGGAAAGTGTGGAGGCGTCGCTACCCGATGATGAAGACATACCAGCGCCGGTGACCGAAGAAGAGCTACGCACCCCACCACTTCGAGCGCAGAACAGCTCTCATGACGGACCAAGTGATCGACCAAGCGACACCATTCCTACGCGCGCATCCAGCACACCCGGAAGAAACGGAGAAGAAGAGTGGATGGTGTGACCGGTTCGGAAAAAGCGCGGCGTGGTTCGCTACGAACAAGAACTTCGAAGCCATCGTCGCGGTCGCTTCAATTTGGACGACTACGAAGGTGACTTCGACCCTTTCTACTGTTTCTCGGCTGAAGAAGATGGGGAACAAGCGTCCAGCTATCAAGAAGTGATGAAGATCGGCTACAAGTAGCAGTGGCTGCAGGCAATGAAGAGTGAGATGAAGTCGTTTGAAGAACACAGAACATGGAAGCTAGTGGACATGCCACCGGGCAAGAAGGCCGTAGGCTGCAAGTGGGTCTTCAAGATTAAACGCGATCCGAGTGGGAAGATCATCAAGTTCAAGGCAAGCTTGGTTGCGAAAGGGTTCACGCAGCGTCCTGGCATCGACTACAACGAGACCTTTGCACCAGTGGCGCGCAAGGAATCTATCAACACAGTGTTGGCGATCGCTGCAGCTGAACCCCTGGAAGCAGAAAACGTTGATGTCGACACAGCGTTTCTCGACGGCGAAGTGGAAGAGGAGATCTACATGGACAAACCTGACGGTTTTGAAGATGAAGGAAGCCCGAAAAAGAAGTGTTTGCTGCAGAAGGTGCTATACGGGACGAAGCAAGCGGCGCGGCAGTGGAACAACAAGTTGAGTCAGCAATTGGATGATCAAGGGTTCAAGAGCAGTGCAGCGGACCCGTGTGTGTTCGTTCGAGTGACAAGAGAGGAGTACATCATCATCGTGATCTACGTGGACGACTTGATGATTTCCTGCAAGACGAAGGAGCACATCGCAAGCATCAAGAACTCATTGATGGAAGACTTCAGCATTAAAGATCTTGGAGATCTCAAGTACTGCCTCAGGATCGAGATTCATCGCAAGCGCGAAGATGGAACGATCAAGATGAACCAGAAGGCGTACATCAAGCGACTTTCGGAGAAGTTCGGCGTTGAAAACTGCAAGGACGTGCACACGCCAGCGGACAGTAGCTCGAAGCTGATCAAGATGGGTCAAGAGGAAGCATTTGTACCAAAGTACCCATACTGTGAGCTGGTGGGCGCTTTGATGTACATCGCCACATGTACACGACCGGACATTGCGCATGCGGTCGGCGAAGTTGCGAAGTTTTGCGAGCGCTACGACAAGTCGCATTGGGCAGCAGCAAAGCGGATTCTCAAGTATCTCAAGACGACTCAAGACTTAAGCATCGTGTTCAGCGGCATAAACAAGGGAGAGCTGATCGAATTCGCGGATGCCAACTGGGCTGGCGACCTCGACACACGGCGTTCGACAACAGGATACGTATTCTTCCTAAACGGAAGCGTGATATCGTGGAATTCGAAGCGTCAACCAACGGTCGCGACCTCACGTACTGAAGCAGAGTACACGAGTCTGTACAGCGCGACGCAGGAAGCAATTTGGCTTCGAGGTCTGCTCTAGGACCTGAACTACTGTGCCAAGAACGCGACGATGATTTTCAAGACAATCAAGGTTGCATCGCGTTGGCCAAGAATCCTATGTACCACTCGCGCACGAAGCACATCGACATCAAATTTCACTTTTTGCGTGAAAAGGTTGCAAGTGCAGTGATCGCGCTAGAGTTCAAGCCAACAGAAGAAATGGTCGCGGATAGATTCACCAAGGCACTATCAAGAGACAAGCACAGCAAGTTCATCACGGGTCTGTGCATGGCGGTGTAGGACGCACACGTCGCACGCACATCAAGTGGAAGTGTTAGCGAGTGATGATGCGGCGACTTGTGCAGGGTGTATATTACATATTTGCATTAGTTGTATTGTTCTTTGGCAGGTTTACATTGTGGGATGTTAGCGGTGACGATGTATCGGATTGGCTCAGTCGATAAGGAAGAGGGATTCACAGTGTGTGCGGGTTAGATCCCCGCCGTGTTCAAGTAAATTGTGACTGACACTCACGACCTGGTGTTTGGGGTTTACCAGAACTGTGCCCCCCCCGCAGTTACGTCCCCCACCCACGCAATCGTTTTCATTCTGCATATGACACAGCAGAGTTTTTACGAAAGGTATTCACGGGACGTGATTACCCAGTGATAAGTAAAACAGGTACCGGTGGAGACAGGGCACGATATAGGTGGTTGAAAGTCACCTACTACTACTAGCCATTCGATTTCGAAGCTAAGAACAATTTGAATACAACTCACTTTTCGGTTTTCATCCCCGGCCGTAAGCCATCTTCTTCTTAGCATCAGCTCCGCAACCTAGTTAAATCTCACAGTTTTGGCAGCCATTTTGAGAGAGATCAATAGACTAGTGTTTACATACGCTGCTCTGTTTCGGTTCGATGACCGTGACCCTCTGTGTGATGCCCAACGAAATCACTACACCGATGTAGCTGCTACGAAGTAAAAGCGGGTGTAGTAGTCACATGTGTTGATGAGAGAGGAACGGAATTGAGGTGGACTGCGAAAGGCTATCCGTATAATGCAGACATGCGTGCTATTGTCGTGTTGGTCCTTATGGACCAGCATGCTCACACACAGGGCTAAAGCTACTACTGAAATCTGCACTCAGCCGATAAACGTATTTGACAGCCGTACCTTAGGTCCCGGAGGTTTCGTTCAAGTAGACAACGCTTCAGGAAATCTGTCATCGGTACAAGTCGAATAGTAGACGCTTTATGATTACCGTTCATGGTATAGGTCCCATAAATAGTGCAATGGAAAGTCTTGTGGAAATCAAAGCTTCTCAATTTTTTTGCGAGTACGTAATGATTTGCTCGCCATCAATTGATTTTTACATCAATTGTAGTTGCAAGTATACTATTGCTTCGCCGACTGGTGTTTGAAGTCGATAGTGTGCTATAAATTTCATGTCAAAGAATCTCATTGATTCGCTGCACTCTCTCAACCAAGTCAAGCTCATCGCTCATTGCATAAGTACCATCGTATCGGTTACCCTGTCGTATATCATATGTAAGAACGTCGAACGAATGCGACGTTGATGTGTGCGCGGCCAAGCAGGTGGAGCGGTCATATCGACGCCAATAGTCTCATTTGGACCGACGCAGCGTCATCCCGACGCGGATAGCCTCCCATAGGTCACGACATCGCCATAGCTTGGTTTGGATCAATACAAACTTACCACCAGCCAGTCTCACGGTGCCACCATTCCAAAGATGGAAATCCCGTATGTATCGGACGTTATTCGCAGTGTAGTAGCGCCGCTGCTGTTTGATGCGCTTGCTGTATGTGTTGCTGGTGTCGAATGAGACCACTACTAAAGTCCGAACGCTCTCACGCACATGTGTACTGTTTGAAGTACGGCTCACTCGGTCGTACCCTATACACTTCGTCTCCGCAATCGTGATGTCGCAGACTCGGTGAACGTCATAGTCGCCGTCTAAGGCGTTATGCCCAGAAGAATATGCAAGTGTAAAAGTCAGGAGAGCCTGAAGCATGATGATGAGGTTGCGGGCTACAGCAAAAGTGCACCGTCGGGGAATCAAACCCCGACCTCATCCTTGGAAGGGATGAATCCTAACCATTAGACCAACGGTGCTCTCATCGTTGCTGCTCGTTTCATGCACATACAATGTCCGACACGGTCACTCGAGCCACTATTGCAAAACAAAAAAACAAACACAAAGCAAACGTACCGCACTACTCGTATCGAATGCCTGTTAAACAAGGACAATCCGCTCCGCTGCTGACCTCACGTCACGAAACATTTTTCATCGCTCGACGCATGTCGGTGTCATGTCGGCTTTATTTTACACTCACAAAAGCTTCTGCACCGTTTTGATGAACGTTCGACCTTTCTCTTCAATACTTTCCGCACGAAGATAAAAGCGCCACAAGTGGACTCCGTGAGCGCAGAAATAATAGAGACCATTAGTTATTCTGAAATTCCGTTCGCTCATGCAGTGTTTCTACACAAAAGAACGTCTTATGGCTTGTATTGAACTGTGATGAATGGCTGCTGTTGGCATAAGGTGATGCAGCTCGTGCATGTGGAGGGAGTTTGTATGCTGGCGTGTATATGCGCGTTACAGATTGCGCTGAGAAAGTACAATCAGATGTGAGTAACTAAGTGCGATAAGGTGCAACAGTGGTGCAGACTAAGTGGGAGACCTTGGCAGAGGTATACCAGAGGTCGTTCGAGACCCAGTGTCATCCATTAAGTGAAGCCTTCAGGCCTTGGTGTGATGGGGTTCACCAGCGTTGTCCTGTCAGGCAGTGACGTACCCACTTCTCTGACCATTTTCCGATCCAAGACTTTGTGACACACATCAGAGAGAAAGGGAACTCGACAATGACCAATGACTGGTTAATAAAATAGATGGTCAGCGTGACCATTAATGATGATTGGTTCGTTAAATGGACGGTCAGCAAGGAAAATGTGTAAAGGAATCGATAACAAGCGACGATGTAAGTGCACAGAAGATAAGAGATAACACACAATATTAAACTCACTTTTGATTTTGCTACTTCGCCCACAAGCATCATCTACTGAGCGCTCGCGTCAACCTAGGAGTTTAACAGCCGCCAATTATGGGCGTGGCTGCTTAAGTATGTGGATAAGCAGAAGGAATCGGGGGGATCCACTTAGCCACGGAATGCCGTATATCAAACACTTTTTTAACTACTACTTACAGAATTGGGGACATCTGCAACGCGAATTATCACCCACGTAAATGTATGGTTGCCCGTTTTCAAGGTTTACCCGGCAAGGAGAAAACGCAACCTCTCTTACTGGTTTAGCATGTGAAACTCACTTGTCGGACGTGAGGTTCTCGTCTCAATTTGATTTCTTGGAAGAAGGATCGCATTCATTCATTTGGATGTTTTGGCAGCCATTTTGAGAGACATCGATAGACTAGTACGCTGCTCTGTTTCGGTTCGATGGCCGTGACCCTCTGTGTGATGCCCAACGAAATCACTACACCGATGTAGCTGCTACGAAGTAAAAGCGGGTGTAGTAGTCACATGTGTTGATGAGAGAGGAACGGAATTGAGGTGGACTGCGAAAGGCTATCCGGATAATGCGGACATGTGTGCTAATGTCGTGTTGGTCCTTATGGACCAGCATGCTCACACACGGGGCTAAAGCTACTACTGAAATCTGCACTCAGCCGATAGACGTATTTGACAGCCGTACCTTAGGTCCCGGAGGTTTCGTTCAAGTAGACAACGCTTCAGGAAATCTGTCATCGGTACAAGTCGAATAGTAGACGCTTTATGATTACCGTTCATGGTATAGGTCCCATAAATAGTGCAATGGAAAGTCTTGTGGAAATCAAAGCTTCTCAATTTTTTTGCGAGTACGTAATGATTCGCTCGCTATCGATTGATTTCTGCATCAATTGTAGTTGTCGGTATACTATTGCTTCGCCGACTGGTGTTTGAAGTCGATAGTGTGCCATAAATTTCATGTCAAAGAATCTCATTGATTCGCTGCACTCTCTCAACCAAGTCAAGCTCATCGCTCATTGCATAAGTACCATCGTATCGGTTACCCTGTCGTATATCATATGTAAGCACGTCGAACGAATGCGACGTTAATGTGTGCGCGGCCAAGCAGGTGGAGCGGTCATATCGACGCCAATAGTCTCATTTGGACCGACGCAGCGTCATCCCGACGCGGATAGCCTCCCATAGGTCACGACATCGCCATAGCTCGGTTTGGATCAATACAAACTTCCCACCAGCCAGTCTCACGGTGCCACCATTCCAAAGATGGAAATCCCGTATGTATCGGACGTTATTCGCAGTGTAGTAGCGCCGCTGCTGTTTGATACGCTTGCTGTATGTGTTGCTGGTGTCGAATGAGACCACTACTAAAGTCCGAACGCTCTCACGCACATGTGTACTGTTTGAAGTACGGCTCACTCGGTCGTACCCTATACACTTCGTCTCCGCAATCGTAATGTCGCAGACTCGGTGAACGTCATAGTCGCCGTCTAAGGCGTTATGCCCAGAAGAATATGCAAGTGTAAAAGTCAGGAGAGCCTGAAGCATGATGATGAGGTTGCGGGTTACAGCAACAGTGCGCCGTCGGGGAATCAAACCCCGACCTCATCCTTGGAAGGGATGAATCCTAACCATTAGACCGACGGTGCTCTCATCGTTGCTGCTCGTTTCACGCACATACAATGCCCGACACGGTCACTCGAGCCACTATTGCAAAACAAAAAACAAACACAAAGCAAACGTACCGCACTACTCGTATCGAATGCCTGTTAAACAAGGACAATCCGCTCCGCTGCTGAACTCACGTCACGAAACATTTTTCATCGCTCGACACGTGTCTGTTAGAATTAACCTAGGTTGAGGAGCTGATGCTAAGGAGCAGGATGGCTTACGGCCGGGGATGAAAACCGAAAAGTGAGTTGTATCCAAATTGTTCCTAGGTCCAAAAGCGAATGGCTAGTAGTAGCCGGTGGCTCTCAGCCACCTATATCGTGCCCTGTCTCCACCGGTACCTGTTTTACTTATCACTGGGTAATCACGTCCCGTGAATACCTTTCGTAAAAACTCTGCTGTGTCATATGCAGAATGAAAACGATTGCGTGGGTGGGGGACGTAACTGCGGGGGGGGCACAGTTCTGGTGAACCCCAAACACCAGGTCGTGAGTGTCAGTCACAATTTACTTGAACACGGCGGGGATCTAACCCGCACACACTGTGAATCCCTCTTCCTTAACGACTGGGCCAATCCGATACATCGTCACCGCTAACATCCCACAATGTAAACCTGCCAAAGAACAATACAACTAATGCAAATATGTAATATACACCCTGCACAAGTCGCCGCATCATCACTCGCTAACACTCCCCCTTGATGTGCGTGCGACGTGTGCGCCCTACACCGCCATACACAGACCCGTGATGAACTTGCTGTGCTTGTCTCTTGGAAGTGCCTTGGTGAATCTATCCGCGACCATTTCTTCTGTTGGCTTGAACTCTAGCGCGATCACTGCACTTGCAACCTTTTCACGCAAAAAGTGAAATTTGATGTCGATGTGCTTCGTGCGCGAGTGGTACACAGGATTCTTGGCCAACGCGATGCAACCTTGATTGTCTTAAAAAATCGTCGTCGTGTTCTTCGCACAGTAGTTCAGATCCTTGAGCAGACCTCGAAGCCAAACTGCTTCCTGCGTCGCGCTGTACAGACTCATGTACTCTGCTTCAGTACGTGAGGTCGCGACCGTTGGTTGACGCTTCGAATTCCACGATATCACGCTTCCGTTCAGGAAGAAATCGTATCCTGTTGTCGAACGCCGCGTGTCGAGGTCGCCAGCCCAGTTGGCATCCGCGAATTCGATCAGCTCTCCCTTGTTTATGCCGCTGAACACGATGCTTAAGTCTTGAGTCGTCTTGAGATACTTGAGAATCCGCTTTGCTGCTGCCCAATGCGACTTGTCGTAGCGCTCGCAAAACTTCGCAACTTCGCCGACCGCATGCGCAATGTCCGGTCGTGTACATGTGGCGATGTACATCAAAGCGCCCACCAGCTCACAGTATGGGTACTTTGGTACAAATGCTTCCTCTTGACCCATCTTGATCAGCTTCGAGCTACTGTCCGCTGGCGTGTGCACGTCCTTGCAGTTTTCAACGCCAAACTTCTCCGAAAGTCGCTTGATGTACGCCTTCTGGTTCATCTTGATCGTTCCATCTTCGCGCTTGCGATGAATCTCGATCCTGAGGCAGTACTTGAGATCTCCAAGATCTTTAATGCTGAAGTCTTCCATCAATGAGTTCTTGATGCTTGCGATGTGCTCCTTCGTCTTGCAGGAAATCATCAAGTCGTCCACGTAGATCACGATGATGATGTACTCCTCTCTTGTCACTCGAACGAACACACACGGGTCCGCTGCACTGCTCTTGAACCCTTGATCATCCAATTGCTGACTCAACTTGTTGTTCCACTGCCGCGCCGCTTGCTTCGTCCCGTATAGCACCTTCTGCAGCAAACACTTCTTTTTCGGGCTTCCTTCATCTTCAAAACCGTCAGGTTTGTCCATGTAGATCTCCTCTTCCACTTCGCCGTCGAGAAACGCTGTGTCGACATCAACGTTTTCTGCTTCCAGGGGTTCAGCTGCAGCGATCGCCAACACTGTGTTGATAGATTCCTTGCGCGCCACTGGTGCAAAGGTCTCGTTGTAGTCGATGCCAGGACGCTGCGTGAACCCTTTCGCAACCAAGCTTGCCTTGAACTTGATGATCTTCCCACTCGGATCGCGTTTAATCTTGAAGACCCACTTGCAGCCTACGGCCTTCTTGCCCGGTGGCATGTCCACTAGCTTCCATGTTCTGTGTTCTTCAAACGACTTCATCTCACTCTTCATTGCCTGCAGCCACTGCTACTTGTAGCCGATCTTCATCACTTCTTGATAGCTGGACGCTTGTTCCCCATCTTCTTCAGCCGAGAAACAGTAGAAAGGGTCGAAGTCACCTTCGTAGTCGTCCAAATTGAAGCGACCGCGACGATGGCTTCGAAGTTCTTGTTCGTAGCGAACCACGCCGCGCTTTTTCCGAACCGGTCACACCATCCACTCTTCTTCTCCGTTTCTTCCGGGTGTGCTGGATGCGCGCGTAGGAATGGTGTCGCTTGGTCGATCACTTGGTCCGTCATGAGAGCTGTTCTGCGCTCGAAGTGGTGGGGTGCGTAGCTCTTCTTCGGTCACCGGCGCTGGTATGTCTTCATCATCGGGTAGCGACGCCTCCACACTTTCCTCTTCTTCAATGACATCGAAGACCCGCGTGTCTCTGCTTTTCGATGTTTTCGAGACAGAATGCTCAGAGAACGTGACGCTTCTTGAAATCACGATCGAGCCATCGTCCGCACTAAGAAGCCGATACGCCTTTTAATCCTTCGCGTAGCCGAGAAAGAAACATCGCACGCCTGAGTCGTTCAGCTTCTTCCTCTTCTCCTTTGCCACACGCGCATAGCATTGCGCACCAAACACGCGCATGTGATCGACGCGCGGAACCTTCTTGAACACCATCTCGTGTGGGCTCGAGTTCTTGTTCGACGCGTTCGGAAGAATGTTTCTGATGTCTGCCGCTGTCATCAGTGCTTCGCATCAGTACGACTTGTTGAGGCCGCTTTTGTTGAGCATACAGCGCGTCATCTCCACCAGCGTGCGGTTCATCCGCTCCGCCATCCCGTTCTGCTCTGGGTTGTACGGAACCGTGAACTCTTGCTTAATGAACTTTGCCTTGCAAAAGTTGTTCATCGTTTCATTCCGGTATTCGCCGCCGTTGTCACTTCGCAACACCTTTATCTTCGTTCCAGATGCTGTCTTGATATTTTGGTAAAACCGCTTGAACGCACTCGCAACGTCGCTCTTCTTTCGCAACGGATATACCGTTACATACCTGCTCTTCATCATGATGAAGGTTACGGCGTAACTGAAACCAGACTTAGACGCTGGCGTGATAGGTGCGAGAACGTCGAAGCACACCACCACGTCGGAACACGAACTCTCCCTGGTTTCAGCGTCTTCTTCACTGGTCTTGAATGACTTGCGCACTTGCTTTGACGCTGCGCATACGTCACACGCAACGTTCCTCTTCACCGTAGCGCCCTTGATCCGTCCTTCATTAACCATGGCATTCAGAGTACCATACGACACGTGGCCCAGTCTTCTATGCCATAGCTCAGTCTCGTCTTCGGCTATGTGGCACTCCGTACAATAGTCAGCATTGAGATACAGTAGGAAAAATCCTGCTTCCGTCCTGTTGCGACGGGTTTCCTGCCATGCTTTACCACGCACTCGTTGCGCGTTATCTCCACTGTCATGCCGCGCGCTGCTGCAGCCGTGAGCGAAAACAGGTTCTTGGACGAATCTTGAACGTGAAGTGTGTTCTCAAGGCGAGCGTCGACCCACGCATTCCCTGTCCAGACGCGCAGCTTCAATTTCCCATGTCCAATGACGTTCAGCTTCACGTCGCTTTTTGCGCTTGAGATACTTCGCGCATGATGCACTTCTTCGTAATCTTCGAACGCATCTCGATCCTTGCACATGTGTGCTGACACCGCACTGTCCATGACCCAGCTGTCGCTCGCGAAACCTTCGCAGGCATTGAACGCGACGTTCGACTGGTCATGCTGGTGCTCCCTTGGCCCTCGACCGGAGCGACAATCTCTGGCGTAGTGTCCGAGCTTGCCACAGTTGTTGCAGGTCCGTGATGGTCCTTTCGCGCGCCGTCCTTGTTGCTTCTTCGGGTACTGCTTACTCTTCCTCGTGCCTGTGTGAGAGCCGGTGCATCTTCTACCCGTGCAGCCTCATTCTAGCGGACTTCTTTGGCGATCAACTTGCTCACGAGGTCACTAAAACTGAAGCTTGCGACGGACATGCGGAATGCATGTACCAAGCTCTCGAAGCTTGAAGGTAGACTCTGCAACAGTACTGCGCACACGTCTTCTTCACTTGGACCGCAGTTCGCGCGCTTCATCTTCATCACGAGGTCCTCCAGCTCCATCGCATGACCGCTTATGGTTGATGCTGCATACCTGAACGAGGCCAACAGTTCTTTCAGCCAATGTCGATTCGCCATGTCATGCCTGTGATGAAACCGCGCCAAATGTCCCCACACTTCTCTTGCAGTGGCAGAGTCGATGACATGCATCAGCTGCGAATCGCTCCGATTAAGCACGATCGCGGCGTGGGATTGCTGTTCCTTGGCCTCACTCATTGTCTCACCGCCCGCGATCGCGCCCCACAGCCCCTTCGACATCAGGTACATCTTCATCTTGTAACTCCACAACCCATAGTTCGAGCCATCGAAAGGCTCGACCTTGAAACCGGAACCGTTGTTTAAGCTCATAACCTGTTAGAGTTAACTAGGTTGCGGAGCTGATGCTAAGGAGGAGGATGGCTTACGACCGGGGATGAAAACCGAAAAGTGAGTTGTATCCAAATTGTTCCTAGGTCCAAAAGCGAATGGCTAGTAGTATCCGGTGGCTCTCAGCCACCTATATCGTGCCCTGTCTCCACCGGTACCTGTTTTACTTATCACTGGGTAATCACGTCTCGTAAATACCTTTCGTAAAAACTCTGCTGTGTCATATGCAGAATGAAAACGATTGCGTGGGTGGGGGACGTAACTGCGGGGGGGCACAGTTCTGGTGAACCCCAAACACCAGGTCGTGAGTGTCAGTCACAATTTACTTGGACACGGCGGGGATCTAACCCGCACACACTGTGAATCCCTCTTCCTTAACGACTGGGCCAATCCGATACATCGTCACCGCTAACATCCCACAATGTAAACCTGCCAAAGAACAATATAACTAATGCAAATATGTAATATACACCCTGCACAAGTCGCCGCATCATCACTCGCTAACACTCCCCCTTGATGTGCGTGCGACGTGTGCGCCCTACACCGCCATACACAGACCCGTGATGAACTTGCTGTGCTTGTCTCTTGGAAGTGCCTTGGTGAATCTATCCGCGACCATTTCTTCTGTTGGCTTGAACTCTAGCGCGATCACTGCACTTGCAACCTTTTCACGCAAAAAGTGAAATTTGATGTCGATGTGCTTCGTGCGCGAGTGGTACACAGGATTCTTGGCCAACGCGATGCAACCTTGATTGTCTTGAAAAATCGTCGTCGTGTTCTTCGCACAGTAGTTCAGATCCTTGAGCAGACCTCGAAGCCAAACTGCTTCCTGCGTCGCGCTGTACAGACTCATGTACTCTGCTTCAGTACGTGAGGTCGCGACCGTTGGTTGACGCTTCGAATTCTACGATATCACGCTTCCGTTCAGAGAGAAATCGTATCCTGTTGTCGAACGCCGCGTGTCGAGGTCGCCAGCCCAGTTGGCATCCGCGAATCCGATCAGCTCTCCCTTGTTGATGCCGCTGAACACGATGCTTAAGTCTTGAGTCGTCTTGAGATACTTGAGAATCCGCTTTGCTGCTGTCCAATGCGACTTGTCGTAGCGCTCGCAAAACTTCGCAACTTCGCCGACCGCATGCGCAATGTCCGGTCGTGTACATGTGGCGATGCACATTAAAGCGCCCACCAGCTCACGGTATGGGTACTTTGGTACAAACGCTTCCTCTTGACCCATCTTGATCAGCTTCGAGTTACTGTCCGCCGGCGTGTGCACGTCCTTGCAGTTTTCAACGCTAAACTTCTCCGAAAGTCGCTTGATGTACGCCTTCTGGTTCATCTTGATCGTTCCATCTTCGCGCTTGCGATGAATCTCGATCCTGAGGCAGTACTTGAGATCTCCAAGATCTTTAATGCTGAAGTCTTCCATCAATGAGTTCTTGATACTTGCGATGTGCTCCTTCGTCTTGCAGGAAATCATCAAGTCGTCCACGTAGATCACGATGATGATGTACTCCTCTCTTGTCACTCACGTCCGCTGCACTGCTCTTGAGCTCTCGAACACACACGGGTCCGCTGCACTGCTCTTGAACTCTTGATCATCCAATTGCTGACTCAACTTGTTGTTCCACTGCCGCGCCGCTTGCTTCGTCCCGTATAGCGCCTTCTGCAGCAAACACTTCTTTTTCGGGCTTCCTTCATCTTCAAAACCGTCAGGTTGGTCCATGTAGATCTCCTCTTCCACTTCGCCATCGAGAAACGCTGTGTCGACATCAACGTTTTCTGCTTCCAGGTCTTCAGCTGCAGCGATCGCCAACACTGTGTTGATACATTCCTTGCGCGCCACTGGTGCAAAGGTCTCGTTGTAGTCGATGCCAGGACGCTGTGTGAACCCTTTCGCAACCAAGCGTGCCTTGAACTTGATGATCTTCCCACTCGGATCGCGTTTAATCTTGAAGACCCACTTGCAGCCTACGGCCTTCTTGCTCGGTGGCATGTCCACTAGCTTCCATGTTCTGTGTTCTTCAAACGACTTCATCTCACTCTTCATTGCCTGCAACCATTGCACCTTGTGGTTGCTCTTCATCACTTCTTGATAGCTGGACGCTTGTTCCCCATCTTCTTCAGCCGAGAAACAGTAGAAAGGGTCGAAGTCACCTTCGTAGTCGTCCAAATTGAAGCGACCGCGACGATGGCTTCGAAGTTCTTGTTCGTAGCGAACCACGCCGCGCTTTTTCCGAACCGGTCACACCATCCACTCTTCTTCTCCGTTTCTTCCGGGTGTGCTGGATGCGCGCGTAGGAATGGTGTCGCTTGGTCGATCACTTGGTCCGTCATGAGAGCTGTTCTGCGCTCGAAGTGGTGGGGTGCGTAGCTCTTCTTCGGTCACCGGCGCTGGTATGTCTTCATCATCGGGTAGCGACGCCTCCACAATTTCCTCTTCTTCAATGACATCGAAGACCCGCGTGTCTCTGCTTTTCGATGTTTTCGAGACAGAATGCTCAGAGAACGTGACGCTTCTTGAAATCACGATCGAGCCATCGTCCGCACTAAGAAGCCGATACGCCTTTTGATCCTTCGCACAGCCGAGAAAGAAACATCGCACGCCTGAGTCGTTCAGCTTCTTCCTCTTCTCCTTTGCCACATGCGCATAGCATTGCGCACCAAACACGCGCATGTGATCGACGCGCGGAACCTTCTTGAACACCATCTCGTGTGGGCTCGAGTTCTTGTTCGACGCGTTCGGCAGAATGTTTCTGATGTCTGCCGCTGTCATCAGTGCTTCGCATCAGTACGACTTGTCGAGGCCGCTTTCGTTGAGCATACAGCGCGTCATCTCCACCAGCGTGCGGTTCATCCGCTCCGCCATCCCTTTCTGCTCTGGGTTGTACGGAACCGTGAACTCTTGCTTGATGAACTTTGCCTTGCAAAAGTTGTTCATCGTTTCGATCCGGTATTCGCCGCCGTTGTCACTTCGCAACACCTTTATCTTCGTTCCAGATGCTGTCTTGATATCTTGGTAAAACCGCTTGAACGCACTCGCAACGTCGCTCTTCTTTCGCAACGGATATACCGTTACATACCTGCTCTTCATCATGATGAAGGTTACGGCGTAACTGAAACCAGACTTGCACGCTGGCGTGATAGGTCCGAGAACGTCGGAGCACACCACCACGTCGGAACACGAACTCTCCCTGGTTTCAGCGTCTTCTTCACTTGTCTTGAATGACTTGCGCACTTGCTTTGACGTTGCGCATACGTCACAAGCAACGTTCCTCTTCACCGTAGCGCCCTTGATCCGTCCTTCATTAATCATGGCATTCAGAGTACCATACGACACGTGGCCCAGTCTTCTATGCCATAGCTCAGTCTCGTCTTCGGCTATGTGGCACTCCGTACAATAGTCAGCATTGAGATACAGTAGGAAAAATCCTGCTTCCGTCCTGTTGCGACGGGTTTCCTGCCATGCTTCACCACGCACTCGTTGCGCGTTATCTCCACTGTCATGCCGCGCGCTGCCGCAGCCGTGAGCGAAAACAGGTTCTTGGACGAATCTTGAACGTGAAGTGTGTTCTCAAGGCGAGCGTCAACCCACGCATTCCCTGTCCAGACGCGCAGCTTCAATTTCCCATGTCCAATGACGTTCAGCTTCACGTCGCTTTTTGCGCTTGAGATACTTCGCGCATGATGCACTTCTTCGTAATCTTCGAACGCATCTCGATCCTTGCACATGTGTGCTGACACCGCACTGTCCATGACCCAGCTGTCGCTCGCGAAACCTTCGCAGGCATTGAACGCGACGTTCGACTGGTCATGCTGGTGCTCCCTTGGCCCTCGACCGGAGCGACAATCTCTGGCGTAGTGTCCGAGCTTGCCACAGTTGTTGCAGGTCCGTGATGGTCCTTTCGCGCGCCGTCCTTGTTGCTTCTTCGGGTACTGCTTACTCTTCCTCGTGCCTGTGTAGAGCGCCGGTGCATCTTCTACCCGTGCAGCCTCATTCTAGCGGACTTCTTTGGCGATCAACTTGCTCACGAGGTCACTAAAACTGAAGCTTGCGACGGACATGCGGAATGCATGTACCAAGCTCTCGAAGCTTGAAGGTAGACTCTGCAACAGTACTGCGCACACGTCTTCTTCACTTGGACCGCAGTTCGCGCGCTTCATCTTCATCACGAGGTCCTCCAGCTCCATCGCATGACCGCTTATGGTTGATGCTGCATACTTGAACGAGGCCAACAGTTCTTTCAGCCAATGTCGATTCGCCATGTCATGCCTGTGATGAAACCGCGCCAAATGTCCCCACACTTCTCTTGCAGTGGCAGAGTCGATGACATGCATCAGCTGCGAATCGCTCCGATTAAGCACGATCGCGGCGTGGGATTGCTGTTCCTTGGCCTCACTCATTGTCTCACCGCCCGCGATCGCGCCCCACAGCCCCTTCGACATCAGGTACATCTTCATCTTGTAACTCCACAACCCATAGTTCGAGCCATCGAAAGGCTCGACCTTGAAACCGGAACCGTTGTTTAAGCTCATAACCTGTAAAGTTAACTAGGTTGCGGAGCTGATGCTAAGGAGGAGGATGGCTTACGGCTGGGGATGAAAACCGAAAAGTGAGTTGTATCCAAATTGTTCCTAGGTCCAAAAGCGAATGGCTAGTAGTAGCCGGTGGCTCTCAGCCACCTATATCGTGCCCTGTCTCCACCGGTACCTGTTTTACTTATCACTGGGTAATCACGTCTCGTAAATACCTTTCGTAAAAACTCTGCTGTGTCATATGCAGAATGTGCGGAAACGATTTCGTGCGGGTGGGGGGACGTAACTGCGGGGGGGGGACACAGTTCTGGTGAACCCCAAACACCAGGTCGTGAGTGTAAGTCACAATTAACTTGAACACGGCGGGGGTCGAACCCGCACACACTGTGGATTCCGTCTTCCCAAACGACTTAGCCAATACGATACATCGTTATATCGCTAACATTCCACAATACAAACCTGCCAAAAAACAATGCAGCTAGTGCTAATACGCGAAATACATCATTTACAAGTCGCCTCATCACCACTCGCTAACAAACCAGTAAGAGAGGTTGCGTTTTCTCCTTGCCGGGCAAACCTTGAAAACGGGCAACCATACATTTACGTGGGTGATAATTCGCGTTGCAGATGTCCCCAATTCTGTAAGTAGTAGTTAAAAAAGTGTTTGATATACGGCATTCCGTGGCTAAGTGGCCCCCCCCCCGATTCCTTCTGCTCATCCACACACTTAAGCAGCCACGCCCATAATTGGTGACTGTTAAACCCTAGGTTGACGCGAGCGCTCAGTAGATGATGCTTGTGGGCGAAGTAGCAAAATCAAAAGTGAGTTTAATATTGTGTGTTATCTCTTCTCTTCTGTGCGCTTACATCGTCACTTGCTATCGATTCCTTTACATCTTTACCTAGCTGACCGTCCATTTAAAGAACCAATCATCATTAATGGTCACGCTGACCATCTATTTTATTAACCAATCATTGGTCATTGTCGAGTTCCCTTTCTCTCTGATGTGTGTCACAAAGTCTTGGATCGGACAATGGTCAGAGAAGTGGGAACGTCACTGCCTGACAGGACAATGCTGGTGAACCCCACCACACCAAGGCCTGAAGGCTTCACTTAACGGATGACACTGGGTCTCGAACGACCTCTGTTATACCTCTGCCTGTTAAAATCAAAAGTGAATTGTGTTATGCGTTGAATCACGTTCCTACCGTTGCCTATCATCTTTCCTGGTCCGTCCTTCTTTCCTATCGTTTTCTCAAATCAGAAAATGTCCTTTCTCATGTTCCTTTCCCCAAGAAATGTCTGCTCAACAAGGCTTTGTATGGTACATAGGTGTATAGTTCACGGTCGAGTATGACACGTGTCCAAGTCGGCGACGCCACGGTTCGGCTTCGTTTTCGAGCACATGGCATTGTGGAACCTCTTCGACATTTAGTGTTAAAAGCATCCCACGTCACACACCTGTTGCGACGATTCGCCCGCTTTTGGATACAATACATCCTGCACTGTTGATATCAATCTTCATCCCGCGCGCAGTAGCTGCTGTCAGCGAGAACAGGTTCTTGTTGAGGTCTTGCACGTGAAGTGTATTTTCCAGTCGTGCATTTATCCACAATGTGCCGTCCCAAACACGCAAGACGACCGTGCCTTATCCAAGCACCTTTAAGCTCGCATTGTTTTTTGCGCTATTCACGTTGCGAGCTGTCGACGATTCCGCGTACTCAATAAACGCGTCTCTATCCTTGCACATATGTGCCGTTGCGCCGCTGTCCATGATCCAGCAGTCGCTCGTATTTTCTTGAGTGGCGTTAAACGCCCACACTTTTGTCACCGGAAAGGAAAACGTTCTATGGGAAAGAAACATGATAAAGGAAGAACCGTTTATGGGAAAAGAACATGAGAAAAGACGTTCTCTGATTTGATAAAACGGTTGGAAAGAAGGACGAACCAGGAAAGACGATAGGCAACGGTAGGAACGTGATTCAGCGCATAGCATAATTCACTTTTGATTTTGCTGCTTCGATCAACAAGTCTTCTTCATTTCAACGCTTCGCTAACATTCAACAGGTTATGAGCCTAAGTAACGACTTCGCACCTAAGGTGGCACTGTTTGACGGTACCAACTATCCGTTATGGGCGTTCAAGATGAAGATGTACCTCATTTCTAAAGGGTTATGGGAAGCGGTTAACGCCACATCTGGCGTCTACGAGGTGAGGAGCAGCAGGCGCATGCGGCAATCGTGCTCAACTTGAGCGATACTCAGCTCATGCATGTCATAACAACGGATAGTGCACGCGAAGCATGGGGAGCCCTCGCACGAGTTCATCGGACTCAAGACATGGCAAGTTGGCTTTGGCTGAAAGAAAGGTTTGCAAAACCTATGGAGGGTGTCGATGTTGACACTGCATTCCTATACGATGAAGCCAAAGAAGTGATTTACATGGACCAGCCTGATGGATTTGTTGACAAGCAAAACCGTGACAAGAAATGTCTGCTCAACAAGGCTTTGTAGGGTACAAAGCAAGCGGCACGAGAATGGAATTAACGTCCGAACGCTCACCTTCTAGGTCAAGGGTTCACGCGTACGGCTGCTGATCTTTGTGTATATGTACGACGATCAGATGCTCAATTTAGTCTCGTGATCATCCACGTTGACGACTTGATGCTTTTCGCGCGGACACAAGAGCACATTGATGACATCAAACATTCACTCAAGACCGAGTTTGTTACTGTCCAACATTGGTTTTGAAATGGAAGCGGCGACGACTATTTGTTAAGGAAATGTAGGTTGCATTGCGCTGGCAAAGAATCCAGTCTTCCATTCGAGAACAAAGCATTTCGACATTAAGTTTCACTTTCTTTTCGAAAAGGTTGAGGAAGGCGTCATCCAGCTTAAGTACACGCCAGCAGACAAGATGATTGCGGATGGCTTGACGAAGGCTCTTGGGCGGACCAAGCATGCAATGTTGTCGTCTTTAGGTATTTGAGAACGCGCTTGGCTGCGACCCAGTGGCTTTTCCCATGACACTCGTAGTACTTGAACACTTCTCCTACCGCGTGTATTGTGTCTGGTCTAGTGCACGTTGCAACGTGCATAAGTGCACCAACTAGCTCACGGTAAGGCCATTTGGGCAAAAATTCGTCATTGTCGCCCAGCTTGATCAGTTTATCAATTTCGTTGGACGGTGTGTGCATGTCCTTGCATTGGTCAACGCCATATTTCTCTGCCAAACGCTTGATGTACGAACTCTGATTCATTCTGATTGATTTGCACTCGTAATCACGTGTCAGTTCGATGCCAAGACAGTACTTCGGCTCGCCTAGCTCCTTAATGCTAAACTCGGTCTTGAGTGAACGTTCGATGTCATCAATGTGCTCTTGTGTCCGCGCGAAAAGCATCAAGTCATCAACGTGGATGATCACGAGACTAAATTGAGCATCTGATCGTCGTACATATACACAAAGATCAGCAGCCGTACGCGTGAACCCTTGACCTAGAAGGTGAGCGTTCGGACGTTAATTCCATTCTCGTGCCGCTTGCTTTGTACCCTACAAAGCCTTGTTGAGCAGACATTTCTTGTCACGGTTTTGCTTGTCAACAAATCCATCAGGCTGGTCCATGTAAATCACTTCTTTGGCTTCATCGTATAGGAATGCAGTGTCGACATCGACACCCTCCATAGGTTTTGCAAACCTTTCTTTCAGCCAAAGCCAACTTGCCATGTCTTGAGTCCGATGAACTCTTGCGAGGGCTCCCCATGCTTCGCGTGCACTATCCGTTGTTATGACATGCATGAGCTGAGTATCGCTCAAGTTGAGCACGATTGCCGCATGCGCCTGCTGCTCCTCACCTCGTAGACGCCAGATGTGGCGTTAACCGCTTCCCATAACCCTTTAGAAATGAGGTACATCTTCATCTTGAACGCCCATAACGGATAGTTGGTACCGTCAAACAGTGCCACCTTAGGTGCGAAGTCGTTACTTAGGCTCATAACCTGTTGAATGTTAGCGAAGCGTTGAAATGAAGAAGACTTGTTGATCGAAGCAGCAAAATCAAAAGTGAATTATGCTATGCGTTGAATCACGTTTCTACCATTGCCTATCATCTTTCCTGGTTCGTCCTTCTTTCCAACCGTTTTATCAAATCAGAGAACGTCTTTTCTCATGTTCTTTTCCCATAAACGGTTCTTCCTTTCTCATGTTTCTTTCCCATAGAACGTTTTCCTTTCCGGTGACAAAAGTGTGGGCGTTTAACGCCACTCAAGAAAATACGAGCGACTGCTGGATCATGGACAGCGGCGCAACGGCACATATGTGCAAGGATAGAGACGCGTTTATTGAGTACGCGGATCGTCGACAGCTCGCAACGTGAATAGCGCGAAAAACAATGCGAGCTTAAAGGTGCTTGGATAAGGCACGGTCGTCTTGCGTGTTTGGGACGGCACATTGTGGATAAATGCACGACTGGAGAATACACTTCACGTGCAAGACCTCAACAAGAACCTGTTCTCGCTGACAGCAGCTACTGCGCGCGGAATGAAGATTGATATCAACAGTGCAGGGTGTATTGTATCCAAAAACGGGCGAATTGTCGCAACAGGTGTGCGACGTGGGATGCTTATAACACTAAATGTCGAAGAGGTTCCACAATGCCATGTGCTCGAAAACGAAGCTGAACCGTGGCGTCGCCGACTTGGACACGTGTCATACTCGACCGTGGACTATACACCTATGTACCATACAAAGCCTTGTTGAGCAGACATTTCTTGGGGGAAGGAACATGAGAAAGGACATTTTCTGATTTGAGAAAACGATAGGAAAGAAGGACGGACCAGGAAAGATGATAGGCAACGGTAGGAACGTGATTCAACGCATAACACAATTCACTTTTGATTTTAACAGGCAGAGGTATACCTGAGGTCGTTCGAGACCCAGTGTCATCCGTTAAGTGAAGCCTTCAGGCCTTGGTGTGGTGGGGTTCACCAGCGTTGTCCTGTC